AAAAAAATAATAATAATAATAAAGTTTAAGGACAGGCAAAACTATAGTGTTTAAAGATACTCAGGCAGTACAACTATAAAAGCCAGAAGTGACTATCACAGAAGTAGTCATAGCAGCAATTACCCTGTAGGGGGCTTCTGTTTAGTGTGTGCAGGATGCTAACCAAGATGTTCACTTTGTGATAAATCACTAAGTTTACATTCATATTTTGTTTTTGTTTGGTTGTTTGTTTGTTTTCCGGTACCGGGCATCGAACCTTGGACCTTGCACTTGCCAGGCAGGCGCTGTGCTGCTGAGCTAAATCCCCAGCCCCTACATTCATATTTTGGGTACACATGCTCTTTTCTTCTTTCTGAGGAGAGATTTCACCAAGTCATCCAGTGTGGTCTTCAACTCCTGGGCACAAGTGATCCTCCGGCCTTAGCATGCCCGGTAGCTGGGACCAGGCATGAGCGACCATGCCCAACCACACTCTTCCTTTCCCCTGCTCCCCTGCCATCCTTTCTTCTCCCCCCCGCCTGTCTGCAGTGTTACAGACTGAACCTGAGGTCTTTCACATGCTACACAAGCGCTCTACAATTGAGTCTCATTCCCAGCCCACATGTGCTATTCTTTATTTTTGCAGCACTGGGGGTTTACCCTCGGGCCTCTGTATTGAGCTACATCTCTGGCCTTTTTTACATTTTTAAAATTTTGAGACAGGGTCTTGCTAAATTGCCCAGGCTGGGCTTCAATTGGCAATCCTCCAGCCTCAGCCTCTCAGAGTGCTGGAATTACAGGTGTGCACAACCATGCCCAGGTAGCATGTGATATTAATAATAGGTTTAAAAGTTACAAGCTCTCTCTAAGGTAGTGAAAGTGAGGACAGAGGGAAGAGATTGATTTGGGCTCTGTGGAAAGTAAAGGAGATAAGGCATACATGCGGAGGGACAAGTTCGGGAAGACCGAAGAGGTGAAAAATAGTGCTGGTTAGGGAAACCTGTACGACGAAGTAGGAATGTCCGGGCTGCTGTCTGAAATGAGACAAATCACCTCCTTTGAGTACACATTCCTTTCTCCACAAAAGGCAAGAGTGAGGCTTAATGGAACCAGTCTTAGGTTCTGTTACTGGGGACTCTGGGCTTGTGATCCCTGTTGTTATTTCAAGGATATGTGAGCTTGACAAATGTCACCTCTCCTCCCCAGATTTTGAGACAGGGTGTCGCTATGTAGCTCAACCTGGCCCTGAACCCGTGGCAATCCTCCCAAGTGCTGGAATTACAGCTATGCCCTTTGTTTTTTTACAGTAAGAATACTTAAAATTAATTGGGAAAAAGAAAATTACCAGTAGCTGCTGTATGTATGGGGCAAGTATTATACTTGCTTCGTATGTGAAAATGAGGTGCAGGTCAAGACAAATGATTATTATTTTTTTTTTTTTTAAAAAACAAATGATTCTTGAAAGGCAGAGTTACCAGATGTTCAATGTGGCTAAAAGAAAAAACACAAAACAAAACCACACCTCACTTTTTTTTTTTTTTTCTTGTCTTTTTGAGACAGGGTCTCACTATGCAGTTCAGGCTGGCCTTGAGCTCACTTTGTAGCCCAGGATGGTCTCGAACTTGCAGCAATCCTCCTCCCTCAGCCTCCGAGGGCTGGGATTACAGTTGTGCACCACCACGCCTGGTTCTTGGGAGTTTAGTATAGAGAGCCCTTCCCAGTCCTCGTTGCAGCCCAGGAAATTTGTATTTATAATCCCATGAAAAGTTATTGTAATTCCAGCAAGTTAATTCCATTCTAGCACTTCCAGTGCAACCCATGGCGAGATACCAAGGCATACTTGTAGTTGTGGGGAGCCAAGAGATCCTAAACCCAGCCATGATGATGGCCACCTGGAACTAAGGCTTTGACCTGAGGCGGAACCCAGGTTTTATTCATTCGTGAAGGGAGTGGCTTCAGGATGAGTGACTGTGGGAAGCAGGTGAGTGCCATGAGCTGGGCGAGGTAGGGGGCCTGCAATCACCTCTGCAAATGCAGAGAAGGACATGCAGAAAGAGTAATGTGCATAACACAACTGAGATAGTATCTAATGTTTTGGGGTCGGTGCTTCAGCTCTGCTGTGTGATCTTTCAAGCCCCAGGAAGTCATATCCTGTATCCCAAGGCTTGATCCCAGCCCACAGTGTGGAGCACCGGCTCTTCATCCTGCCTCTTCCTGGCTCACTCATGGGAACAATGATGGTCCAGGGAAACACGCCTGTCATCTCCAAAGATTACCATTAGCACCTCCATATACTGATATGCATTGCTTAAAGCCAATTGAAGGGATTAAGGAAAGGGTCCCAGCCGGCTCTGTCCATATCAGTACATGGAAATAGGGTCAGGCTCAGCCAAAATGGAGGCAGACGCTCCTCCTTCAAGGAGAGTCGCCCAAGTGGTCCTCCACAGTTCAGTACCCCTAACTTTGGAGGCAGCCGTTCTAGGAAGCAAAGCAAGACAGATTTGGAAAACTTCCTAATAGCATACTGCAGTTTTTAAAAAATTAATTTTATTTGGCACATTTTAGAAATATATAATAATCACATTCATCATAGGGAATTTGTACCTCCCTCAGTTTTTTCACATGCAGATCTGAGGTAGTAATTTCTACTCACAGGACCTCCTGCTAAAACAGACATTTTGGGACGTTTGGTGTCTTGGTTATCATCTAACAATGAATGAGAAAATACTTGAACACATAAGAGAACAGATCATAATCCCTTCATGGTTTCTACCCTGCAGCGTTAAACCTAGTTGGGGAGCTTTTAAATCTGGGCGTTTTGGGGGCTGGGGACTTAGCTCAGCGGCACAGCGCCTGCCTGGCAAGTGCAAGGTTGTGAGTTGGATTCCTGGTACCAGAAAAAAAAAAAAAACCAAAAAATAAAAAATAAAAAAATAAAAATCTGGGCGTTCTGTAGGTTTAGTGATTGTACAATTTAATACCCAAATCAGGGCACTTTTGAGAAAAGAGACAGTATTACTAATTATACCGGAACACTGGCATAAACCAAGACTTTCTCGCTGAGCATGAAGTGTGGGCCTCCGGGGGAGGCCTAAGGCAGGGCCCATTGTGGTTTCCTCCAGGAAGCTCTAGAAGGCAGGAACCAGGGCACCTGCTGTGCCTAAATTGAGCAGGCTCATTCCACTACGCTGAGAGCTCACCTCTACCTACAGCATTCGACACATGCCTGGGAGATGATCGTAGCTAACATTGACTACGCACAAAGCGCTCCCATCTGTGCTAAATAAATGCATCTCCGTAGGGGGCTCCGCCGACCCTTTAGGAGGCAGGCGGCTTTACCATCTTCCGAGAGGTTCACTCCCTCAACGTCGCTCATCTAGCGTGGGACACGCTGAGAGCCAAGAGATTTCTATCTCATCCGTTTTTCTCGCTTTCCCCCAGGCCAGCTGCAGGCAGAGGGAGTCTAGGACTTCAAAGCCCGCACACCTGCGCCCTCTGGGTTCCCAAGACAAGGACGGCTGTAACAGCAGGTGGCGAGCCTGTCCCCTTCTCCAGCGACTCAGGGCCGCGGGCTCCGAGGAGGCCGGAGGCGTGCGGAGTCGCCATTGAGCTAAGCGGGCTGGGGGAGCCTGGCACCTGCCTCCCTTCCTACGCAAACCTTGGTATCGGCGCTGGGGTCCCCTCGAGACTCTGGGAGCTGTGCGTTTCTGCACTGCTGGAGTGGAACTCAGGGCCTTGCTCACACTGAGCACCGAGGCTTCGGAGCTAATGGCAGAGGCCAAGGTTGGAAAGCCCCTCCGATTCAGTCTAGAACTTTCCAACCATGCCCAAGCCACCTTGATCGCGTACCCAGCCCCGGCCGCGTGATTTCTCCTACTCCGCAGCACTGACGAAGCGCGCCGCTCGGAACGGGAGAAAGCCCGATTCGCACGTAGCCTGACATCAGCCCCCACTGTGACACTTTGTTCCGGCGTCTGTAGGCGACAGACGCCCAGAGAGGGGAAGAGCCTGGCCGGAAGCAGCAGTGCCAGGAGCAGAGTAGGACCCAGGTCCTCATACGTCATGCGTAACGTCACCAGAGCCCCGCCCCCAGGTCGGCGACTATACGCGATCCCCCGGGAGCTCGCGAGGCATCCTTGCTCCCTTCTTCGCCCAAACAGATCCTCTGGCCCCTCTGGGTGTGCGCAAGGGGCAAACTGAAGCCGGGAGTGTCTGTGAAATTCTTTCCTTACTCCACACCTCACGGACAGCAAAGCTGTTTCCCTCCCCTCTGAGCTGCACGGAACAGCAGGGAAAGACGGGGGAAAGGGGAGGGAACCGAAGGCAAGGTTTGAAAAGCCGGCGGACTCTGCCACACTCAAGATGGCGGCGCAGCCGTGGCGAGGTCCCTCAGAGGCGGTACCAGCGCATGCGCAGCGCGGAGTCCCGGGCCGGGACACAAGATGGCGGCAGCGGCACTGGGGAGGGCGAGGCGGAGGCGGCAAAACGGGCGGTCGAGCAGAACGTGTAGCCGCATCCCCTCGAGTCCGCTCTGGGCAGGTAAGAGCCCCAGGAAGCCATGGTCTCGCCGCGAGCCGTGCCAGGGTCCGGGAGTCTGAAGCTGGGTGGCGGTGGCCCCTCCGGCGCTTTCCACTCGAGGCTGCCGCTGGCCCGGTCTCTTTCGCCGCCGCCATCTTAGGCCCGCGGGTGGGCAGCTGGGCCGGTGGCCTGGGTGAAGGAGATGGGCCCGGAGAGCGCGGGCGGAGCGGCCTCCAGGGTCCCTCCGCTGCTGCCGCCGCCACCGCCTTTGTGTCGGGCTCCGACTCTGAGTCGCCTCAGCCCGGGGGCGGGAGCGCGCGGCAGGGCGGGGGGCGGAGCCCGGGAGATGGGCCGGCGCGCGCGCGCCAAACAGCCCGCCCCCTCTGGGGTAGGGGTGAGGGGCAGGTGCACGCGCACTGGGAATCCACCTTCGCGCGCCCTCGCGCGACTCCCTGCAGGTCCAAAGAATTCTGATTGGTACACTACTGAGACGATCCCGCCCCGTCTTCCTCCAATCCCGGAATTGGATTCTTATTTCGGGTGGGTTCCTGTGGTTGTGGACGTACAGATACTTGTATTTAGGTTGCCTATGCTGCTTCAGCTGCAGGTTGCGTGGGTTCTGGAAGCCACGGGCTAAATCAAAATAACTTAGTAGCAGCCATCTCGTACTGAGTGGACAGTGTCCTGGATTCTATGCATAGAGGATCAGCGTCTGCCCTGTAAGCTGGGAGACAGTGGAGGGCTTGGAACTTGGATTTTTTTTCTAACCCCACATCAGGTTCTTCAGCCACAAACCTACTGCATCCAAGTCTCACAGCAAATTTATTATTATAAAGTTTATTTTATTTGTGGTGCTGGGGCTCAAACGCAGGGCCTCAGGAGTGCTAGGCAGGCTTTCTACCTCAGAGCTGCGCTTATACCCACCTCCCCACAACGAATTTAAATCGGTAAAATTTTCAAGCGATGCAAAGTGGGGAAAAAAAAATCGTGGTCTCCTTAGCTTACCTTTGAATGTGTTTAAAAATTACAAATTCTTTTGTACCTTCCCTCCCTATTTCTGGCTTATAAAATGTGGAGTACATGAATCCTGTTTTTTTGTTTTGTTTTGTTTTGTTTTGTTTTGTTTTTAACAAACCCCTTGATGATTCTGATGCACAGCCTGTTTTGGAAATACGGTACTGCAATGTCCCCATTTGACCTCACACTGAACCACGATACTTGTGACTTGCTCGAAGTGCATCTGTGTTGTGCTTCAATATCACAGCACGTTTCTTGGGAATAATAATTTTCAATAAAGGTGAACAAGATGTGTAATGTGTTTGCATGTTATTTTTCTCAAGACATTTATTCAAAGTGTCTCTTTCAGGGTGGGGAGTTTGGGATGGTGCCCCTCATATTTACCATATGTATTTGTTTACTTCTGGTCTAAGGGTACTTTGGTTGGTAGGACCAGCTGTATAATTTGTGGGGCCCAAAGTGCAAAATGAAAGCATAGACCCTTTGTTTGAAAATTACTAAAAGCAGGCAACCCTTTTGGGACCCCCTTCGGTCTCTCAGGAGCTATTCACCATTCCTATTCCCCAGTGAATTTCCCTACTCTTAAAAAAAAAAATTACTAAAAGCTGAGTATGGTGACATGAACCTGTACTCTGAGCTATTCAAGAAGCTGAGGCAAGAAGATGGCTTGATTCCAGGAGTTGAAGACCAGCCTGTACAACTTAGCAATACCCTGTGTCAAATAAATAAGTGAATGGATGGATGTGCAGCTCAGTGGTAGAGCACTTGCTTAGCTCAAGGCCCTGGCTTTGATCCCCAGCATTACCAAAAGAATCAAGATGGTGACATCAAAGCATTAAACCCAGCCCTGGGCCACCCTGGTATAGGAACCGTATGCAGCCATGCAAGAAAAGCCCACGGGGGTGCACCTATTGTTTAGAAGGCTTGAGAAGTCCTGTTTTCATCCCCCAAATCTCCAGATCCCCCTGTGCAACCCTGTCCTGGATGCTTCCAGCATACTCTGTGTCATTGCCCCTCTGGCTATGCAACATTCACACGATCAGTGACTCTCTTCTTCTGTTTGCTCTCCAGCTGCTGATTCAAGAAGTCCTCTGGGCCCCTGTCTGCTCCAGTGCTGACCAGCCCACTCACTTGTGCTGAGCCTTTCTGCAGGCTCCCCCTTGCCTCTGTTGGACCCTGAAAAGTGGGAGTCAGTCCGGCTGGAGAAGAAAACCCTCTCATGCTAACCTTGCAGACCCCAGAGGGTGAGAGAAAGGGAGTCTTCATTCAATCTTAAAATGTACGGGCTAAGCCCGAAAGGAATATTTCCAGATCTCATTGTTACCAAGGCCCTCTTTGATGTACATATGTCCTGTTGCCCCTGCATTTTATATCTGCTGAACTGTACCAATGAAGTAACCTTTCATTTTTCCCTTCCAAATGAACAAAGACATCTATGATTGAGTGTACAATAAAATCAATGTCCCAATGATTCCTATGATGTTGTTAACAGCCAATCAGCGCTCCTGATCAGCATGAGCTAATCAGTGTGGCCACAATGGGTTGGTAAATTTCAGCATGCAAAAATACTGTTTAAATTTGCCTTTGTGTTCTTTTTTATACCTTTGTGTTCTTATTGTGGGTAAAAGTTTGATTTCTCATGGGTGTTGTGACATACTGAAAATAATTTTAGCATCACTAATCTGATCTCACTTGACACCCCAGGAGTCTAACAGCTCTAGGTGGGAACCACTTTGGCCATTGAGGCTTTTGCTGGGTGTGCTTTAGGTGAGGGTAGTGAGGAATTCAACCTTAAAGGACCAGGCCTCCTTGCTGATAGTTTTCACATGGGGCTTCTGAAGGACTGAATTAGATCATCCTTTTTTTCACCAATTCTTTTTTTTTTTTAATTTATTTATTTATTTATTTATTTTGGGTTTTTTTCCGGTACCAGGAATTGAACTCACGACCTTGCGCTTGCCAGGCAGGCGCTGTGCCGCTGAGCTAAATCCCCAGCCCCATCACTGATACTTTTAGCAAGATAGGTTCCTGCCTGTAGTGTAAAAGGGGTGATCAGTTAGATACCATGCCCCTTGCCCAGCTGTGCTTTGCTTCATTTAGACTACTGGATAGAAGCAGTAAACTATCTCTTCCAAGAGAAAAAGTTACCACTCCTTGCAGGATTGGCTTTGCAAGGGCAGACCCTGTTCTGGCTTTGCCACTTTGAGTGTTTGTAAATGTTTGTAGAGTTAGTGGAGCTCATGTTGGGTCCAAATACCATGCCACGCTCTGGAGAGATGCCTTGGAACCAGATCCTATCCTGGAATTGCTGACAGACTAATGAGGCAAACCCAGTTGATAAACCAAACTATCTGAGTGCTACAGTGGTGGTGGTGATGGCCCTGACTAGTGGTTTAGGGTGGTAGGGGGGAGGTGGCAATCAAGGAGGGTTCCCTGGGGGATGTGAGCCCATGGGCAAGCCAGGTGGAGAACTGGGGCAAGGTATTTTATTTTATTTTATTTTTTATTTTTTTGTTTTTTTCTGGTATCGGGAATCGAACTCACGACCTTGTGCTTGCCAGGCAGGCGCTGTGCCGCTGAGCTAAATCCCCAGCCCCTGGGGCAAGGTATTTTAGGCAGAAAGATCAGTAGGAGGGTACCCACTTTTCTATTGAGGGATTGCATCTTAGATCCTAGGGCGGTCACCTGTGGCATTGTGCTGGCCCTCAGGAGAGGTTGGGGTTGGATTTTTCACCTGGGGTGTTCCCCAGGGTCCTCAGTTGTAATTGGTGGGTGAGATGGAGCTGACAATCTTCCATTTGTTGTGGCAGGTCCCTTGAGGGTGCTAAGATGGCCAATGAGAATCATGGCAGTCCCCGGGAGGAAGCATCCTTGCTGAGTCACTCTCCAGGCACCTCCAATCAGAGCCAGCCCTGTTCTCCAAAGCCCGTCCGCCTGGTACAGGACCTCCCAGGTACTGGTGGGAGCTGTGATGGGTGGTGGGGTAGAAGGGTACTCTGAGAGCACTCATGACCTTGGCTGGGTTCCATGCTTATTTGCAGAGGAGCTTGTGCACGCGGGCTGGGAGAAGTGCTGGAGCCGGAGGGAGAATCGTCCCTACTACTTCAACCGATTCACCAACCAGTCCCTGTGGGAGATGCCTGTGTTGGGCCAGCACGATGTGATTGTGAGTGCCAGCCTAGGGCAGGGGTCTCAGCAGCCTCTGGCATGTGAGCCTTCTCCAGACATACCCTGTGCAGCTGTTCTGTGCCTAGCCCTGTGCTGATACCAGCAGTTAGAGCAACAAGAGAGAGATAGCCAGTCCCTGCCCTCATGTAACTTACGCTCAACAGAAAGCTGACAAATTGGTGATTATAGTAGTATAGCATAGTGAACTCATTCTATATGTGGGGCTCTGGGCCAGTGAGACGCTACCTTCTTGGCATGCTCAAGTCTACTAGAGGGGAGGGATATGAGGGTCACAGTTGTGGCACTTGTGTGAAGAATGGTGTTAGAGGACATTAGCCATCCTGACCTGGTCTGGGGAGATGAGAGGACAGGAAGAGCTTCTCTGAGAGTGAGTGTTGAAAGTGAGGTTAGTTAGGAAGAGTGGTCTAGGAACTGGGATGTTCGTATGAGGAGAAAGTACAGACTCGCTGTCTAGTGGGATGGAGCTTTTGAGTCCTTCTCAGCTGGGGCAGCCTTTATCCGGTATAACCAAGCCAGGAGGCACCCCCGTCATGCAGGTGAAGAGGGGAAATGCCCAGCCCAAGGCTTTGCGGCTGTCAGTAGGTAGAGCAGAATTTGCACCCGGATGTAATTTCAGGGACACTGCTCACTACCTCATGTACTCTGAGGTTCCATCCACATGGCCTTACTCTTTTGGAGATAAGCACTTCTTGAGTTTTTCCTTCATTCCTGATTTGTTTGCTTATAATATCTGGGACTGAGCTCAGACCTGTTGGATAAGTGCCTTCCCACTGAGCTACATCCCCAACTCTCACTCGTCTCTTAAGGAAAATAAACATGTTTGAGTGTCAGTCTTACACCATATGCTATGCTAAGCATATACACTGAGTCATATAATCTCAGTGGGAGGTAGGGCTTAGCATGGCCATTTTTTTTTTATTAAATTTTAAAACTTTTTTTTTTTTTTTTGCCTTTTTGAGACAGGGTCTTGTTATGCAGTTCAGGCTGGCCTGGAGCTCACTTTGTAGCCCAGGCTGGCCTCAAACTCATGATGATCCTCATGACTCAGCCTCCCAAGTGCTGGGATTACAGATGTGCCCCACCACACCCAGCAGCTTTTTGGTTTTTTGAGATAGGGTCTTGCTATGTAGCTCAGACCAGCCTTGAGCTCACTATGTAGTTCAGGCTAACCTTGAACTCTCGGTGATCCTCCTACCTTAGCTCCTTGAGTGCTGGGATTATAGGCATGTGCCACCACTCCTGGCTAGCATGGCCTATTTATTTATTTATTTATTTATTTATTTTTTATCTTTTTGAGACAGAGTCTCACTATGCAGTTCAGGCTGGTCTTCAACTCACTTTGTAGCCCAGGTTGGCCTCAAACTTGCAGTGATCCTCCTGCTTCAGCCTCCCGAGTGCTGGGATTATAGGCTTGCACCACCATGCCTGGCCTTAGCATGGGCATTTTAAAGGTGAAGGAATTAGGAAGGGAATAGCTCACCTGAGGCCACACAGTTGCCAGTAGTAGGCAGGAGCAGAGTGCAGTGTCTGCATCCCAGCCCTCTGTGCTCTTCTCTGAGGAGTAGGAGCAGTAGTGAGAGGGCAGCTGGGTGTGGTGGTGCATGCGTATAATCCCAGCACTTGGGAGGCTGAAGCAGGAAAATTGTTGAGAGTTCAAGACCAGCCTGGGCTACAAAGTGAGCTCAAGGCCAGTCTGAACTACATAGTGAGACTGTCTCAAAAAAGACCAAAAAAAAAAAAAAAAAGAAAGGAGTGGGAGGGCATAAGGATTCCAAAGTACTGGGGCTTCTAAGCCCCAGTTCTGGTTGCAACTCTACTGGTCTCCCTTCACCAGTCGGACCCTTTGGGGTTGAACGCAACCCCACTGCCCCAAGACTCAAGCTTGGTGGAAACCCCCCCGGCTGAGAACAAGGCCAGAAAGAGGCAGCTCTCGGAAGAGCAGCCAAGCGGCAATGGTGTGAAGAAGCCCAAGGTGAGCTTCCGGGTGGTCAGGACCTGGCTGGTAAGCAGCCAACTCAGGTAGGCAGCCAGCCAGCAGGCTCCCTGAAAGGGACGGGCATCGGCAGCTGGCCAGGAGGGGGGCCCTGGATGCATTCACCAGCTGTGTAGTGTTGAAGCCTGTCGCTAGATTTAACCAATGCTGTTGTGACTCTTGCTCCAGATTGAAATCCCTGTGACATCCACAGGCCAGTCAGTGCCTAGTTCCCCCAGTATCCCAGGAACACCAACCCTGAAGATTTGGGGTGCATCCCCTGAAGATAAACAGCAAGCAGTTCTCCTCCGACCAACTGAGTGAGTCCCTGCTGAGTTGGAGGCACCCGTTGCCGGTGGCCAGCCTGCCTGGAACTAGGTTTTGCCAGGCAGGTCACATTCATTGATCCTGTCTCTGCCCCAAGGGTGTACTGGGACCTGGACATCCAGACCAATGCTGTCATCAAGTACCGGGGCCCTTCGGAGGTACTGCCCCCTCATCCAGAAGTGGAGCTGCTCCGTTCCCAGCTCATCCTGAAGCTTCGACAGCACTACCGGGAGCTTTGCCAGCAGCGAGAAGGTAGCTGCCTCCTGGCCCTCAGCCCCCCTGGTTTCCAGCCATTGTTAGAAAGAGCTGGGGCTTTAGTACATCGACTTAGGGATGGCTCAGGGGAGTCCACTGGTGCAGATCATGTACTGTGGAGTGAAAGAGAGCTGTTGGCATTCTGGCTCAATTAACCACTGACTGTGATCCTGGGCTCACTGCTTAGCCCCTTTGCACTTTGGTTCCTTGTCTGTAAGACATAGTAAGAGTGCATAAAGGGTGGCTGCAGTTGACTGCCATGTACTGTCAGTACTTTTTACATATGTGTAGTGTGTAAAGCTGCCTGCTGAAATACAGACCTCTCTCCTTTTGACTCTGTGTAATATTTATTAACAGTCTTGGTAAAACTAGTGATTCTCAGAATAAACCTTGGGAAATAAGGCCTAGCAAATAAGCTTCTGAAGCCGGGCTTGGTGGCACACTCCTGTAATCCCAGCCTTCTGGGAGACTGAGGCAGGAAGATTGCAAGTTTGAGCAACAACTTAACTAAAATTATCTCAAAATAAAATATAAAAGGCTGGGGACATAGTACAGTATAAAGGTTCTAGCTTCAACCCCTGGGGTTACACATACAAAAGAAAGTTTCTTAAGTATTGAGGCCATGTTTTATTTACTGCCGGCATGGTGCCTCCATGTGCCACGCCCAGAGTGGAGCCTGTAACTACATCTAGGCCCTCCCCATTTCTCTGGTCTTGCAGGCATTGAGCCTCCTCGGGAATCCTTCAACCGCTGGATGCTAGAGCGCAAGGTGGTGGACAAAGGGTCTGACCCCTTGTTGCCTAGCAACTGTGAACCAGTCGTGTCACCTTCCATGTTTCGTGAAATCATGAATGACATTCCCATCAGGTACAGCCCTGTGGCTGGGTGGTGTTGTCTCTGTGCCCAGATAAGTATAGAAGAACCCCAACTCTGTCCACTCTCACCTAGGTTATCCCGAATCAAGTTCCGGGAAGAAGCCAAGCGCCTGCTTTTTAAGTACGCAGAGGCTGCCAGACGGCTCATCGAGTCCAGGTTTGGCTCTCTGCCGCATGAAAGACAGATCCATGTGGGGAAGTCATATGCCAGCTTCTCCCCTTACCTCCTCTGGACTCCGACCTTGCTCCCAGATACAGAACAGGGTCTAGAATGTAGGCCTAGGAGCAATGCCGATGATACCAGTGAAGTGGAATGGGAAGAGGGTGGAGCGGACACCTCAACAGCTGGGTCCTGCATATAACTGAGCCCTCTTTCCTTGCCCTTGACTGGCAGGAGTGCTTCCCCCGATAGCAGGAAGGTGGTCAAGTGGAACGTGGAAGATACCTTCAGCTGGCTCCGGAAGGACCACTCGGCCTCCAAGGAGGACTACATGGTGAGTGAGCTCTGGGGTGAGACCAGCTGAAAGGCGCTGTGGCCACTTTACCCAGGAATTCTGCGCTTCCTGGCCAGTTTCCCATAGCGGACCTTGACATTTATCAGTTCCTGGCCTCTTTCTTTTTTGTTTTTTTTTTCCGATATCAGGAATTGAACTTACGACCTTGCGCTTGCCAGGCAGGCGCTGTGCCACTGAGCTAAATCCCCAGCCCAAGTTCCTGGCCTCTTGACTGGAGATGTTTGTCTGTTTTTCTCAGAAAACATTTCCATAAATATTCTTAATGGAATCTTAGGTGTGGGCACACAAATAGCTATCTTTTCAACTTAATGAATCTTCAACATCTCTTCTGAAAAAAAAAAAAAAAAAAAAACTCTTGAGTAGATTTTTGGCAGCAGATTGACAAACTGCTTTTGTGTATGTGTATTCACATTAGTTAAAAGCAACCATCAGGTGGGGTGTGTTGGCATTCACCTGTTATCCTAGCAATCAGGAGGCTGAGGTAGGAGTATCACTATGAGTTTGAGACCAGCCTGGGCTACATAGTGAGTTCAAGACCAGCCTGAACTACATAGCAAGATCCGGTCTCACAAAACAAAACAAACACAAAGAAAGAAAAGCTACTACCAGATACCATTTTTATTATCATTATTTTTCTGGTACTAGGAATCAAACTCAGGACGTTGCGCTTGCTAGGCAGGCACTTGTACGGCTGAGCTATATCCCCTCTTGCTTTTAAATATGTCCAGAACAATTCTGTGTTCTGGTCAAAACCTGTCACGTCTTAACCCCTTCCACCAGCACTAGCAATGGGCTTTCTTTTCAGGACCATTTTTCACAAGAGACAAGGTTTCGTACCTCATGGTAGTAACTGTGTGCTTGACACGTAGAGAGTAACAAAGGTAGGTGTACGCACTAGCCAGAGTGACTCACTTTCATTCTTTAGTTTCACAGATGTGATTCAGCAAAATTACAAATGCCTGCAGGCATCTTTGCAAGTAACTAAAAGCTTAACTTCTATGTCTGTACCAACTGAACGAGCTCCATTTTGTGATCACCTCTCCCTCATAGGGTGCAAATGCTATAAACCAGGACTGTGCCTGGTTTGTGTTTTCCCAGTAATTACCATTACTATCACAATGTAAGCCCAACAAAAATTCCTGGCATTTACTGAACACACTTGTATGCCAGGGACTTGGTAAACCCTGAAAGAGAATGACTGCATTTAATATTTAAACTGTCTTAGGTATTTTGTGTTCCCTTGACAGTTGAGGAATGAGGTTCAGAGAAACCGAGGTATTAGTCCAAGGGACATAGGTAGTAAGTAGCACAGCAAGTTTCAAAATGAAGACTGCTGAAATTCTATAGCCCTGCAGTTATATGCCAATCCTGCTGAGGCCCTTTGGCCTCCACAAGTGTTCTGATCAGGAGTTTCCTCCAGGACCGCCTGGAGCACCTGCGGAGGCAGTGTGGCCCTCATGTCTCTGCTGCAGCCAAGGACTCTGTGGAAGGCATCTGCAGTAAGATCTACCACATCTCCCTGGAGTATGTCAAACGCATCCGAGAGAAGCACCTGGCCATCCTCAAGGAGAACAACATTCCAGGTAGGGGCAAGGTAGTGGGGAGCTAGCAGTGAAACCATCACCTTTGTCCAGGGCCATGACTGAAGAACAAAGAATGGTGAGCCTCAAGCCAGGCACTGGTTTGGGGAACCAGTTTCTCCCAGTGGTGTGTTCAGGCAAACCTGCTGTCCCCTTTGGCTAGGGCAATTCAGCACTCCTCTGGGACACAGGAAGAAGTGATGAGAAAGGGAAACAAGTTGATGGGGAAAGACAGGCCAGTAATAAGTAGATGGACCTGGACTTACATCCACTCTCTGGAAGACTTTCTCCAGAATGAGGTATAATAATACCTGACTATTCCTAAGTAACTCAAGTCAACTGCTTGGCCCCCAAAGATCTGCACATTGTAACTCCCGAGTTACAATGAGTAGCGCACCTTCCATACTTCTGCTCAGCAGCAACACTCACAGGCCTCAGCCTGCTTTTCTACCAGGTCCCAAGGCACAGCAAATGAGGTCAGCCTCGGTGTTGGGCCTATGGACACAGGCCGTCATTTCTGCCCTTATAACTGCCTGGTGGTTTCCTTTAGTTTTTAATGGCTCTTTGTTGTCTTTGTAAAGAACTGGTTTATGCCAGTTTGCTGATCTGTAGAATGAGACTTCCTCTGTATAAGGCACCAGGTACACAGTAGGTACTGAGGGGGTCTGGGCCACTGGCCCCTCACGGCTGTCCCTGTCCACAGAGGAGGTGGAAGCCTCTGAGCTGGACCCCCGTCTGGTGTACTGCTACCCACTGCGGCTGGCTGTGCCTGCACCCCCCATGCCCAACGTGGAGATGCATGTGGAGAATAACATGGTCTGCATCCGGTACAAGGGAGAAATGGTCAAGGTCAGCCGCAACTACTTCAGCAAGCTGGTAAGAGCTGCTGGGACGAGGGCCTAGATGCTAGCACAGGTTGGGGCTGGCATCTTTCTTGCCTCAGGAGTCCAGAAGCAGGTGATAAGGCTATGGGACCACTCCTAAAGACAGCACTTTCTGTCCTACAGTGGCTCCTTTATCGATACAGCTGCATTGATGACTCGATCTTTGAGAGGTTCCTGCCCCGGGTCTGGTGCCTTCTCCGGCGGTACCAGGTACGGGCCTGGGGCAGCAGGTGGAGGGCTTCCCTGGGGGAGTAGGGACGTTCAGCCTGATGCTGACTGTGGCCATTCTACAGATGATGTTTGGTGTGGGCCTCTATGAGGGGACTGGCCTTCAGGGATCGCTGCCTGTGCACGTCTTTGAGGCCCTCCATCGACTCTTTGGCGTCAGCTTTGAGTGTTTCGCCTCACCTCTCAACTGCTACTTCCGCCAGTACTGTTCTGCCTTCCCTGACACAGATGGCTACTTTGGCTCCCGCGGGTGAGAGCCAGGGGCTGGTGGACCCCCTCTTGCCCTTGCATGGGAAGCTGTCTCCACAGCACAGGTTGTATCAGCCTGCTCCTTCCTGATGTTTTATGTCTTTAGCGTTAGGTAACCTTGGGGTTAGTTGCTGTCTCCACTACTTATCAGCCATGTGACCTTGGACATGTTGCTTAACCTCTGGAAGCCTCAGCTTTTTTGGCCCTGTGGGCTTTTTGTGAGGAAATTGGTTCAGGTGTGGAATAGGATCACCTGACTGCAGGCACTGGGAAATGAGAAGCATAGTGCAGGCCTCAGAGACCTCACATTCAGCTAGTGGGCGGTGAGGAACACAGGTGAAAGGGAGGCTGTCTCCAGAGGAAAAGGTGTCCAGGCTGTCCAGAGGCCCAAAGCTCAGTAGCTGGGGGAGTCTTGGGTGTGGCCTGTGCTGTGGTGGCAGCAAGCTCAGAACTCATTTGAACTCCAGCTCCCCCAGCTTGGTGGACAGTGGCATCCAAGCCTGAGCCTCTGTCCTCATCCATTCAGTGGACATGATCATTCCTTGTCCCAGGACAAATGAAGTGTGAATATTAGCCTTTGGCCTAACCGTGGCCATCTTTTTAGCATAGCTGCTCAAGGGTGAAGTGGCATCCATTTCTGTTGAGGGACAGGTCCTGAAGGGACTTAGAATGCTTGCCTCTGCCCTCAGACCTTGCCTGGACTTTGCCCCACTGAGTGGTTCCTTTGAGGCCAACCCACCATTCTGCGAGGAGCTCATGGATGCTATGGTCTCTCACTTTGAGGTGGGTGTGGGTTTCTCGCTTTGATGGGGGGAGGGGACAGGGAGAATTGGGGCAGCCCCAGATGTCCACCCTGTGCTTCCTTCCACAGAAACTGCTGGAGAGCTCATTGGAGCCCCTGTCCTTCATTGTGTTCATCCCTGAGTGGCGGGAACCCCCCACACCAGCGCTCACCCGCATGGAGCAGAGCCGCTTCAAACGCCACCAGCTGGTCTTGCCCGCCTTTGAGCATGAGTACCGCAGTGGCTCCCAGCATGTCTGCAAGAAGTGGGTGCTTGGGGAGGGCAGGGGAAGGAGGGGCAGGGCTGGCCAGGCCAGGCCAATCAGGCCAGGCCCAGGCCCAGCCCCGGCCCACCCTGAGCAGCTGCCTTTGTCTGCAGGGAGGAAATGCACTACAAGGCCGTCCACAACACAGCCGTGCTCTTCCTACAGAATGACCCTGGCTTTGCCAAATGGGGGCCGACGCCTGAGCGGCTGCAAGAGTTAAACACCGCTTACCGGCAGTCAGGCCGCAGCCATGGCTCCAGCTCTTCCTCATCCTCCTCCTCAGAAGCCAAGGACCGGGACTCTAACCGAGAGCAGGGCCCTAGCCGAGAGCCTCACCCAACTTAACATACCCTGCGGGGAGGAGGAGCCCCGGGGGTGCTGGTATGGACTGCTGGGACTCGGGCTTCTGGAGGCTGAATGAACTCCAGGACCCCTCCTGGGCTGGCAGCAGGACTTGGGCTGCCACTGACATAGGAATATTACGGCCCTGCCGGGGCTCCCCCTCCCTGCCCCTTTTCCCACACCCAACCTTAGACTCACTCTAAGTCCTTTGTAAATAGGCCCAATGCCTTCCCAACCCCATGCTGACCTTGTCGCCACCTTGTTTCATTTGTAAAAGGAAATACATAAACCCCCTAAGAATGTGTGAGGGTCTTGAGGGCAGAGAAGGTTGAAAACCTGGAGCCACTCTGGATCACTAACCCCCACACCCAAGGGTTATTGGGTATGGGGGTTAGTGATCCTCTCCTGACTCCTGGGCCTCTGTACCACATCCCAGAGACCCCACACAACTGGGGCCCTGGTGGCTTCTGCCTGTGCTCAGCAGATTGGAAGAGTCCAGGGCCTGTGCCATCTAGCTACAAGCTTCTCTAGCCGGGTCAATCCACATACCTCTGGAGATGAGGACCAGTAACTGTGCCCTGTGTCCTGGTAGACAGACAGACTTGCTGTGCCTCAAAGAGCCACCCCTTTGAGCAGGCACTCAGGAGGCAGCCTTGTAGCCACTGTACACTTCAGGGTACAGGGCTTACTCTCAGCAACTTTAGGCGGGAAGTCTGGGGCAGAAGCAGGTCTAGAGGTGCTTGGCAGGGCTTTCCCCAGCTCAGCTCTCCTAGGATGAGGCCTCTGCATCAGGGCATTGCCCTGAAGTGGGACCACTGTAGTTACAGAGGCAGGGACAGGCCTTGTGGAGCCAGGCTGTGTTGGGCTATTGAGGCTTCTACCTTCAGCTTCCTTTGTCCTTGTGTGGTTCACATTGTTACCAAGTGGACAAAGCAAGCTGGCCAGGGCTGGACTCTGGTCCCTTTATTGAGACTAAGGGGCCAGTGGGTCCATCCAAACAAAAATAAATTCATCTCTTGAAGCCTGCCTGCAGGCTAGGTCACCCAGCATGTCCTAGCTGGGCCCATGGCTGTCCCCCAAACCCAAGAGCACAAAGCTGTCTCCTCTGTAACGAAAGGAGGCCGGCTGCCCAGTATCTGGAGAATCTAAGTGGGAGAGGGAAAGGAGTCCCCACGGCCTCCAGAAGAGCTGGCCCAATATCCATGATCCTCATTACAGCCTTGGGCTCAGTCTTCAGTCAGGGTGATGACATCATACTCGATGCCCTGGTGCTGCAGCTGTTGGATGTGTTCAGGCACTGCCTCTTCTGTGCCGAACAGGCCCTGGGCCTGGGCCATGGCAGCATCAGCCACTGCTGCCAGGAGGAGAAAGCATGATAAGCCCGAGGCCCCAAGATCTAGGCCTGACCCCTACCCTTGGGATCTAGATCCAGCCTCATACCTGTGACAGCAGAGTGTGCTGCGGCCTCAAGCTGAGCCTGAGTGACAAGCTGCTGGCCTGGGGACACAGGCACATACTGGATCTGGAGGGGAGACACTGATGAGAAGTGGCCCTGGAGGAGCCTTTTAGTGCTCCAGCTCTGTAGTTCCCCACGTGCCCTACCTGGGACTCCTGCAGGAACGGGGCTCCTTGTTCATACTGGATGTGTGTAATCTGGCCCTCCTGTACCTAGACAGAAGAATCCAATCCACGATCCCAGAAGGAGGTGGTGCTGCCCTCCTCAAGCCCCATCTCACTCCTGGCCTGTCCTACCTGGATGTGATGGCCATCAGGGACCACAACATATTCCTGAGGCAGCAGGTGCTGGACACCGTCCTGAGAGATGATATACTGTACCTAAAGAAGGGTGGTGGGAGGCAGTTGCTGGGGCCCCACCCACCAGGTTCTCAGGAGGAGGAGTAGAGGACCAGGGATACCCACCAACAATGGCAGCACAAGCATGGACCCTGGGAGGGGGCAGTACTGTTCCACCTCAAGGTGGGGCCTGGGCAGGAGGGCAAGGCTGAAGAGCAGCTCACCTGGTTGTCAGCGGTTACCAGGTGCTGTACTGTCTGGCCATCTGCTGTGGTGATCTCTTGGATATAGGTGGCTTCTTCCTGCCAAAGACAGGCCAGCTCTAGCCTCAGCTCTGTCTGCCCCCATCCTGCCATGACCTCTCATCAGGGCCCCAACCCTGGTTTTTACCTGATTGGTCACTGTCTGTTCCTGGGCCACAATGATGTGTTCCTGGCCCAGCGCCTGCTGCAGCCGCTCCGGGCCCAGGACCCCATGACTGGACTGGAGGGCAGCTAGGCAGAGAGGGGACAGTGTTTACTTGAGACCTGGAACGTGCCAGTCCACAGGTACCTTCTAGGACAGTAGCTCAAGTCTCTGACCAACCCTGGTGCCCACCCTGTGGTAACTCACTATGCAGTGTGGCCAGCGTCTCCTCATCACTATTCAAGATGATGGTCTGAGTGGGGGTCTGGGCTGGGGCCCGGGCTGTAGGGGTCCCTGGTTTTCTCCCATCGGGGCTGTGCAGCCGCTGGATGTGAAACTTGAGGTGCCCATTGCGGTTGAAACTGGGAAGGAAGGAAGGAAGGAAGAAGCCTCAGGACAGCTCCACCAAGCAGGCCTAGCAGCCCCTGCCCAGCAGCTGGCCTTACCGCTGCCCACAGAGGTGGCACGAGAAAGGCTTCTCATTGGTGTGGGTCAGCATGTGCCGCCGCAAGTCCTTCTTGTTCTTGGAGGCGAAACTACACTGGCTGCACTGGTGAGGACGCAGGCTCGAGTGCTGCGCCATATGGGCCTGCAGGGGGGGCAGTCAGGGCTGGCACCTGGGTCAGCACAGATGGCAGCAAATCCTAGATCCCTACAGCCACCTGGTCAGGGAGCCAGGTGACACAGACCCAGAAAGCCCCAAACCCTGTGTGCTCACGAGTTGAATAGAAAGTACAAACCAGATCAAGGCTGCCGCCGCTGTGGCTTGAGAGTGCCAAACCACAGGCTCTGCCACTAGGTCACTTGCAAAGTCCCATCCCAGCTCACAGACCCCCCGCATCCATACATAACTTACAGGTGCGGGACGAGGCGACCTCTGACACCTAGGGCTTGGTCCTGCCTAATTGGGCCTCCGTCTCCCCACCTGACCCTGCTCCCTGAGCTCTGAGGACACCGTATGCGGTCAGATCCAGAAACTCAGGCAAATGGAGGGAGCTCCAGGGATGGATCCAGCAGGTGGCCCACTCTCACCACGCTGCCTGCCTGCTGGCCAGGAACCTCTGTGCCTGAGGTATTCTAGAAAGCGAGTTTCCTCCCCAGGCCTCACAGCCTCACCCCTCAGTGCCTCTGCTCCTGCGGACCTAGCTCCCGTCCGCCCCATCCTCTGGCATTTCCGCAGCACCCCCAAGTCAGTGGCTTGCTTTCTGTGTGTCTGCTCTCTGCCCTGCACACTTCCTTCACCCTGGGGACACTGTCTGGCATCAGTCACATTTCTGTCTGGTTGGCCGCCTGCCCAGGCTGAGCTTCCTGAGGAGTGAATCACCTCTGATCCTAGAGGGGAGCAGGACCTGGTCTGGGAGCAGCAGGCTGCTCAATAAAGCGTTGTATACACATGGGTGGCTGGATGACTGACAGCAGAGGCAAAGCAGGACCAGCACCTACCCGGACCTCCGGCCACTGGCAGGCACTGAAGGGGCAGTCAGGGCACTTGAAGGCACTAGGCCCAGCGTGGGCCCGCTTGTGACTTTCCATCTCTGCCCGGCCAGGGAAGGCCTCGGCACAGATCTTGCAGGAAAACTTCTTCGATGCTGCAGTGGTTGCAGATGGTGGCGAGGGTGGGACCACCAGGCCCAGGGCTTTGCTGGCTGTAGGAGGTGGGGAGGAACAGCTCGGGGGGTTCCCCACTCTGTGGGTCTTGGCTGGAGATAGGGGCTCGGGGCCATCTCTGGGCAGCCCCCCACACTGCAGCAGGGGCCACTTGGCTCCAGAGGTCAGGGAATCAGGACTGGGGAAGGAAATGGAGCCATCTGCAGTCAACTGTGGAGAGACCAAGCAGTATGAGATGCTGGGGATGGGACCAGTGTTCAGGGAGTGCAGTAGGTGTTGGCCAGCCCAAACCCACCTCAATGTGGTGCAGCTGGGTTCCATCGGCTGCCATGATATAGTGGGTGCCAGCTTCTTTGAGGGTGTCACTCACAACCACAGCCTGGGCTGCCTCCCCTGGGGGCTCCTCACTGAGGACACAGAGAAGGAGAGGGGAAAGGCAGAGGTCTAGAAGAGAGTGAAGGGCTACAGGAACCCTACTCCCAAGCAATAGGTATCAGCTGGGTATGGTGTTGCACACCTGCTAATCCCAGCACTTGGGAGGCTGGTGCAGGAGGATCACCATGACTTCAAAGCCAGCCTGCGGGCTGGGGATATAGCTCAGCAGCACAAGCATCTGCCTGGCAAGTGCAAGGTCCTGAGTTCCAATCCAGGTACCAAAAAAAAAAAAAAAAAAAGGCCAGCCTGGGCTATACAATGAGATCAAGACTAGTTTGGAATACATAGCAAGACCCTGTCTCAAAAATAAATAAATACAAATCAAAATTTAAAAACTCAAAATACCAAGCAACAGGGATTCACTGGGGTAACCACCACCACCACCACAGACTCAGAGGACTCTGCTCTGTACCAGTGTCTCCTCCACAGATGTTTACCAAGTGCCCCAGCACACTGTCCTGCTCAAAAGCAGTGGCCCATCCACTTGATGGGTACGGGCAGCAACGCAAAGGCTCAAGGAGTCCAGCCCAAGCGTGGCCACGTAGGACAGGAAGAGAGGGCCAAGCCACCAGGAGCAAATGGAAGCTCTGCCTATTTAGGTGCTGCAGTCTGAGTGCAGAAGGCGATCCTGAGAGGCTGCCTGCCTAGGTACCAGGCCAGGGCTCCAGACTGAAACCCCAAGCCCCACTGCTCAGATTTAGGGCTCCCTCTGACAGCTTCAGAGTTCAGTGAGCATATAAACATTTCTGCCCCACACTCATTCCTTGTAGGAAGCCACGTGCAGGTGCCAGGGCCTAAGTGCTCTGAATGTTTGAACTAAAGAGCACCTAGTATCCTTGAAAACAAAGAGCATATAGACTTGGGAACCAAAGGAACCAGGTTTCAAAGCCCCATCTGCATTTCTGACCTTTAAGGAAGCTTAGGCCAGTTACTTGACCTCCTGGTGTGTTTCCTCATTTGTAAAAGGAGGGAAAAGGATCTCAGGGGAGTGGGTTAGGACACATCATGAGTGTCCAGTTCCTGGAACATGTAAGTGGCCAAAGAACGGTAGCTCCAGACCTCAGGACAGATCTCACTATGCTCAGTCACCCTTTCTCTTGCTAGCTAGGCCTGAGCAGGTAGGGCCCAAATCTCCCTGCACTAGCACTTACAAAAGGCTGAAAGGGCCTTGTAGAGGCATGTCTCACCTGTAAGGTGTGCCAGGAGCTGATGTGCCCTCCTCCATAGGGGGTGCTGTGATGACGCTGTAGCCAGCTCCACCAAATGCACCAGGTGCCAAGGTGATCTGCTGCAGGTCAGGGGGGCCTAGTTGGCTCTCGGCTGCCACAGTGTCTCCTGGCTCAGCCACATGGAGGGTTACCACTTGTGGAGTGGTGTCTTCGGGGGAGGGCTGCCCACCAGAGGATGCTAGCTCTGCTTCCATGTCCTCTGACTTCACCACAGCTACCTGCAACGGCACTAATGGGCACATGGGCAGGGTCTGGCAAAGGAGCCGACGTCCAAGACCGGCCATTCTCCGTCTCAGTGCCTCAGAGCCAGACTTGAGCTGCCACCACTCATTGGCACAACCCAAGTTCTTTCTGAAATATATTCTGGCCTTCCAAAGTTCACTCAGCAACTGGAAATTGACAAGTATGAGGCAGCGCACCTGGACACAATGGTGCAGCCCTGTAATCCCAGTTCCTGGGAGGCTGAGGCAGAAGGATCATGAGCTCGAATCCCACTGGGGAATGTAATGAGACTCTGTCTCAAAATTTGAAAACAAAAAAAGGTGGGGAGGGCTAGGGATACAGCACGGTGTGAAGGGTTCATTCCTAGTAAAACACACACACACACACACACACACACACACACACACACACACACAGAGTGGAGCAGTGATTCCATACCCTAGGAGATATTTGGCAATATCTGGAGACATGTCTGGTTGTCACAAAAGGCATGTAGGGGACCAGGGACCAGGGACCAGGGATATTGCCAAATTATCTCACAATGCACAGGCGGGCCACAAACAGAGAAAATGCCAGGAGTGGTACAACTGAGAACCCCAGGTATAGAGAGTCAAGTGGCAAACCATCTAAGGAAAAAAGATTAAAGTAGGGTTTTAGCTCACATCTTATTCTAAAATGTGCTTTAAATGGATTGAAGATTGAAATGTAATAAAACTCTATATTAAAAGAAAATGTAGGGCTGGGGATGTAACTCAGCAGCATAAGCACCTGCCTGGCAAGCGCAAGGTCCTGAGTTTGATTCCCGCTACCAAAAAAATAAAATGAATTTTTAAAAAGAAAATGTAAATAAATATTTTACAATCTTAGTGTAGGGAAATTTTTGTAATCATGACAGAAAAAAGATAGAATCTACACCAAACATAAAATGAGTCAGATGGCCGGTGTGGTGGCACATGCCTGTAACCCCAGCACTTGGGTGGTTGAGGCAAGAGGATCATTGCAAGTTCAAGACCAGCCTGGGCCACAAAGTGATCTCAAAGCCAGCTTGAACTGCATAGTGAGACCCTGTTTCAAAAAGACAAAAAACAGAACAACAAAAAAAGAAAGTATACTGAAGGGGGAAATTTAAGATCTCTTGAGATAGAAGGTGAACTTCCTTCACATACGTAAGAGTTCTTGCAAGGCAACAAAAAGATGAACATTTTAATAGAAAAAGAGCTACCAGCCAGGCAAGGTGGTGTACGCCTGCAATCCTAGCACTCAGGAAGCTGAGGTGGAAGGATCATGAGCTTGAGGTCAGCCTGGGCTACATAGCAAGACCCTGTCTCAAAAGAAAAAAAAAAAAGGAAGAGATACAGGACACAAGACACACAAATAAGCAATTCAAAAAAGGAGTAAGATTAAGATGACCTTTGAACATACATAAAAAAGTCCAACCCCTGTTATAATCAGACTATACATTAGGACCATGAAATATACTTCCATCCAGTTTGTGCTCCTAGAATTAATAAAAAACTGGAAACAACCCAACCAGAAAAGAACTGGCTAAAGAAACCTCAGAGCATATACATGATGGGATGATAGAGACATAATGTGGAGAAGTTATGAATGACGAGGTGTAGGTGCTGGCCACATATACATACTGTGTGCATCTCATCCTGCTGAGTGAAGCAGGTGTGTTGCTGGTGTTCGAAGAGTGTGATCCCATTTTTTTAAAGGACAGGGTGGACATGTTATTGTGTGCATGGACAAAGTCAAAAGAAATCTTCTTGCCCGTTAACTGGTTATCTGAGGGGAAGGGAGAAATGCTAAGGACTTTCACCTTCTGTATTGAACATTCTTTTCTTCTTCCCTATTTCCCTTTCCTGATTCCTTCCTTTCTTTTTTTAGTACTAGGGATTGAACTCCAGGGCCTTTGTACTGACCTACATCCCCAGCCCTTTAATTTTTTTTTTTTTTATTTTGAGACAGGTCTTGCTAAGTCACTAAGCTGCCCAGGCTAGACGTGAACTCACAGAGTGCTGGGATAACAGGCATGTGTCACCATGCCCAGCTTTGAGGACTGCTTTGCTTCATTTGTTTGCAGCACATGCTTTTGTACTCAAAAAACAAAACAAAACCCATGTGGGGCTGGGGATATAGCTCAGCGGCACAGTGCCTGCCTGGTAAGTGCAAGGTAGTGAGTTCAATTCCTGGTACCCACCCCCTCAAAAAAAAAAAAAACCATGAGACTGTCATGATGGCAGCAGAAAAATCAATTGGATAGAACAGAAAAGTCCAGACACAGATCCTACACATGTGGGAATCTAGTATATGATAAAGGGGCCATTTGGAACCACGGTTAAGATAAGATTATGCACTCTACTATATCTGAATACTTTTGGAAAAAAATGAAGTTAGACCCCTACCTTTTTGCATACAACAAAAATAAATTCCAGGTAAAGTAAAGATTTAAGTGTTAAAAATGAAATCCAAGGGCTGGGGATTTAGCTCAGTGGCAAAGCACCTGCCTGGCAAGTGCAAGGTTGTGAGTTCGATTCCTGGTACCGGAAGAAAAACAAAAACAAAAACAAAAAAACAAACAAAAAAATGAAACCCTAAGGAAAAATACAAATGAAAATATCATCTTGAAGGTTAGAGAGACCTTTCTAAGAATCATATCAAAGGCAAAAATAAAAGACTGACATTTAACAAAAGAATGTAAAACTTCTATACTCCCCAAAAGCATCAACCACATTCCACAACAATTTCTAGGTCCAATGCCAGTCTCCCTCCTTCAGTTTCCTCTGTCCCCAGCCTGGCTCGGCAGCACATTATAGCAGTAAGTCCTTAGATTTGTCATCTGAAACACATGCTGTCTTTTCGAGTGCTGGGGACACAGAAGTGCTGACAAATTTTCCTCCTCCTTGCACACAGGCTGCATAGGTGAGGCAGAGAGAGGGAAGGACGCAGGTGAACTGGGCAGCTGGGTAGAGGAGGGAAGGGGTAAAGACGATGAGCTGCAGAATGTGCTAGGCCTGAGGTGCCTGGGCCAAGGCCACTGGACCACTAGGTCGGTCTGGGCAAGATAAAGGACTGGGAGTCCACAGGCTGCAGGTGTCTCGGCTAGCAGAAGGCTTGTACAGATCCTGGGGGCACAGGAACAGAACAGGTGGCTACACCAGGGCAGCAGCATGTACTACAAAGAGGCTGCTAATCCTGGAGAGTGAAATCGAAGACCCTCAACTGTCCCGACCTCCCAGCCCGCCCCCGCTTCGCTGTCAGTCCGCCTCTGAGTCTACCTCCCTGGTTTCAGTGCATTTGTCCCCACCCCCACTAGAGCTTCCTGTAGGTGGGGCAGGTCTGACGGCCTGCTCTCCTCTAGCCCTGGTGCCCAGCGGAGGCGTGTGTGAGGTGACCAGGCCAGGGAGGAGGCCTTGTAGCTCACCTGCAGGGCTGCGCCCCCTAGCTCCCGCTGAGCGCTCATGTTCAACAGCAGGTCCAAGGCTGTCTGTGTGGCCATTGCGGTGGACTCCTCAGCTCCTGAGGGGCAGCGGGGGGGCTGAGAAGGGGCTGGCAAAGGGCGCCCAGCCCCGCTTCGCAATCTTCCGGCTTTCCGCAGAGCTCACCTTGCTGGTAAATGATGGTGGCGCTGCCCAGAGTGTCAGAACAGAGCAGTGGAGGGGTCTCGGGTGACTGGAAAGGTGCAGCCTCTGGAGGGAGCTGGAGGAGGGATACGGCCAAGCCTGAGGGGTGGCCTAGGTTCGGGAGCACTTACCAAGCACCTCCGCCACATCCGCATTTTCTTTCAGCCTGCTTCCTCTTTATGGCCACTTACCAAGATTTTTTTTGTTGCAGTACTGGGGATTGAACCCAGGGTCTTCATGCTGAGTGACACGCCCAGCCCATTTCTTTCTTTTTTTTTTTTTGTTTTTTTTTTCCAGTACTAGGAACCGAACTCACGACCTTGCACTTGCCAGGTAGGCGCTGTGCCGCTGAGCTAAATCCCCAGCCCCCCATTTCTTCTTTCTTTTAATTAAGTTTACCGGTACATTTGAGGTATACCTAACCAATCCATTTCTTTCTTTTTCTTTTCTTTTTAAATTTTGAGACAAGGGCTGCTAAGTTGCCCAGGCTGGTTTAAACCTCCTGAGTTTTAAATCCTGCTGCTTCAGCCTCCTGAGTGCTGGCATTACAGGTATGCACCACCATGCCTGGCTCACTTTTCAAGATATTTACCAACTCAGTGCTACAGGGAAACCTACTGGGCCCAAACAGTGAAGTGACCGGCCTGGCGGGCAGGGGCTAGCACTTGAACCCAAATCTGTGCGTCTGACTCCAGAATCTGCTTTACCAGCACTCTGCGCCGACCAGCTTTCCAGGGCTACTATACCAGCTCACATGGCAGAGAAAGCTAGCTACCTACCCTAGAGCCATCTCCTTCGCTCTTGCTAACAGCATTCTGATTTCCGTGAGAGGAGACAACATACCCAGCTGCAAGACTGTATTTCTCAGCCTCCCTTACAGCTAGGTAAACTGTGGCCATGTAGCTCAGCAAGAGACTTCTGGTGCAGTCCATGAGGAAGCCATACAGGTAGACATCAGAAGCATCCTTTGGATTCTTCCTCTTGCTTCCTGCCTAGCATGTAGCTGAGAACACTGCTGCTGCACATATACTGCGACATAAGGTGACTACAAAGATGGAAGTTACAAGCCTAAGATGACTGGGCAAAATATCGACAGAGCCTGGCCTCTGGTGACCATGGAGCCGCCACACTACCTCTGGACTGGAATTCTTTTATAAACGAGAATAATAATCTATTATTACAATTCAGTCACTGGTATTTCTGCTCTGTGTAACAGCGCTGAAAAGTCTGTCCAACCCAAGCTTAAGGCGGGCGTATCTGTGACGAAGTTGGTCTTTACCATAATCCAGAGGCAGGGATCATTCTGTTGCACCCCAATGTGTAAAAGAGGACCCAAGGGTTAGGCCTACCTCAGGAGGTCCTGGGGAGGCGGGGGGTGCTGCGGGGGTCGTACTATGCTGCTGCTTTAGTTCCTCAATTTGTTGCAGAGAAAAGAAGGGACGGCGGCGGGAGGGAGGGTCCTCAGGGTGGCGGCGCCCCCATTCCTCAAAGTTGCTTGCATGCCGGCACCGGACGTGCAGGCGGAGATTCTTCTTGTGCCTGGTGCTGAAGTGGCAGTACTCACAGGCAAAGGGCTTGGCCCCTGCAGGCGAACGTGGGAAAACGCTTGCACCCACCACCCACTCCAGGAAGCGTTCTTGAGCCCAGACACCTCTCCACTAGCGCATTCCCAGCAATTCATTCCCATGTCTGGGCAAACACGTACCACTGCCCATTCTGGTAGGCAGGACAGAAAGGGTCGGGGCTACCCTCAGCACTCACAGCCTTCCTTTCAGGTCGCCCGACTATGCACTTGTGCGAATCACCAGTCCCCAGGCAGGCAGGAACCCACTGGCTAAGGAGAGTCTGGCTCCTTTTCTCCACTCTCCCCACACATGCCCACCAAAGGCTGGCACCAAAGGGAAGCACCACCTCCTACAGGCCAGGCACCTCTTCCACCAAGGGGGCCACGTAAGACTCAGCCCTGGCCCTCAGCCCTGGCGCCAGGGCCCAGCACACTCAGACGTGGGATCATATGGAAGTCACTTCTGTAACAACCACGTGGCAAGCACTGCTGACTTCCCCATCTCACAAGTAAAGCCAGTTCAGAGGAGACAAAACATGGTCCAGGGCTGTGCAGAGACTAGTGGAGCTGGAGCCCAAGCTGGAGTTCAGGGCAGAGGGTGCTAATCATGGCTATTGCCTTTCTACATCTCCAGAACTGTTTGGCTGTTCCTGAGGCCAGGGCTACCAAGGGGGCAACAGGATGAGAGCGCAGGCTCTGACGAGGGCAGGTGGCTAGGGGGCTGGGGGGTGCCAGAGTGTGCCCGCCTGACCTGTGTGCTTGACAGCCACGTGGGAGAGCAGGAAGTCCTCTCGGAAGGTGCGGTAGGGACAGAAGCTGCATTTGAAGGGCTTGTCACTGACATGGGACAGCTGGTGGTTCAGCAGGGCCTTCTTATCCTCACAAACAAACTCACAGAACTCGCACTTGAACCTGGAGGCAGCCAGAGCGAAGTTCAGTGGTGGGGGTGGGATGCACCCACCTCCTGGGGGCTCCGGGGGGACGTTACCTGCGGTTGGCAACAGCCTGGATATGCGTGAGCAGGTGCATCTTGAAGGTGTAGCGCTTCTTAAAGGACTTTCCACACTGAGGCGTGGGGTGGAGTTAGACAGGGGCTGCCCAGGGCAGGCCCTCAGCCCACCCCAGCCCTGCTCTCAGCGCACCCACCTTGTCACACATGTGGGGCTTCTCAGTGCTGTGCGTCTTCATGTGCTGAGTCAGTCTCTTCTGCATGGGGTACACACGGCCACACACAGGGCAGGGGAAAGAACTCAGCTTTGGGGTCTGGGAAGATCCAAGAGGATCCAGATGAAGAGAGAAGGGAGGAGGGAGAGCGAGACCTTACCTCCTGTCCCTACCTGTCAGCAGCTCCCAGCAGGCTCCCGTCCCTGGCCAGGGCCCCACACTCACCGGATCTGGCCTCTTCTTCCTGGGAAAGGCAGGCCTGGGAGTTTAAACCATGGCTTCCCCAAGCCCACCCAAGCCCTCTCATGTCCACCAGATGCTCTCCCAGCCCTGAGCACCCATTCCTCGCTTAACACCCCTTTTCTAGGCCAGCCTTTCCCCAAAAGGAGTCCACAGGGGACCTCACTGAGTAAGCTGCAAGTGGCACATCCTGTAGTTGGCCACTTTGGGAAAGGGGTCTTTTCTCTCTCTCCAGCATAGAAAAGATTTCATATTAAGGCTCTCAGAAGTCTTGCAGGGAAGAGAACGATTGAAGATCAGGTGTTTGGCCTGTAGATTCACAGAACTCCCTTTCTTCTTTATTTTGAGATAGCATCTCACTAAGTTGTCCAGGCTGCCCTCAAATTTGTGACCCTCCTGCCACAGTCTCCTGAGTGCTGGGATTATAGGCATGTACTACCACACCTGGACTGATGGGCTGACTTTCTTCCTTAGGAAAATATTCAAATATCTCAGAAAGCTAGCCTTTCCATAAACCCAGTTTGAGCCAGGGTACCAGTATCCAACAACATTGGTCTCTGTATCCAACCGCTGCTCATATGAAGCTGTAGACCTAGCTGACTCAGTGAGTGACCACCAGGCTGCTTTGCCCACTCTGAGCACCATTTGCCACCCTTGGCACCATGAGAGGAGCGTGGATCCAGAGGGCACAGAACTTTCAGATCACTTGTGGAGGTGCACAGTTCCCAAAAGAGCTGTCTCGTTTCCAGACAAGAAACTAAAGCTTCCAGCAAGAAAGACCCTCAAGACCCTGCCCCCACCCTGTTTTGGGCCAAATGACCGGGGATGAATCACCTTCTCTTCTCACTCCTGTCTGTATCGTGCTGCAAAAGGCTCAGAGCAAGTGCTCAGCAAGTGGCAGCCATGGTGGTCCTGGGCCTCCACCCTTCCCCCTGCCCAGCCTCTCCTGCCCTGCCCTACACCCACTGACCGGTCCCGGCTGTGCACTGCTGCATGGCGAATGACGTCCTTCCGGTAGACACTGGTGTAGCTGCATTCGTCACACTTGTAGGGCTTGCTGCCCACATGGTTGAACATGTGTTCCTGGCGGAGAAGTGGGGAGTGGGCGGGGGCTCAGCCTTCCTTCCTGTACCCGACCTGCCTGTGCCTCAGATGGAGAGCATGGCCATCTGACCCTGCCACAAGGGGCCTGCAAAGGCTGGGGACTCTCCCTGGCAAGAGCACCTTCTTTGTGCTATGCCTTGTGCTGGCTCACTATTCAAAAAAGGCAACTGAGGTCAAGGGTGAAGGGGCCTTATAATGGAAGAGCGTGGAGCTGTACCCAGGCAGTACAGCTCATCAGCCCACACTCTCCCCACTGTGCTCTGGGACACACCACCCCCAACCCCAACGCCCCTGCTTGCATAGCCCAGAGAACCACCTCCAGGTCCAGAGTCCCATCTGTGTGGGAGGAAGCAGAACAGGAAGAAAGCTCGGGTTGTGCTCACCAGCACCTAAGGTACCCATCCCCTACAGCTAGCTCGCTGTACAACATTTGTTCGCTGGGCCAACCGAAGCTTCCTGAGTCAGTACAATGTACCATGGAGACCTACAACCTCACTGGGCCACATGAGGGTGAAATTTTCCCAGTCAGGGATAGGTTAAACAGGCACAGGACGCTGCAGGCCCACTTGGCACCTCAGGGAGGAAGAAAAGGAATCCTTTCCTTGAGACATCAGTGCCCCCTGCTGGAAAGCTTTGATGAAGCATTCTTGGCCAGGGAGTGGTGCCAAAGAAGCCAATCTATGATGTCCATGACATGAACTGTACCCTCAACAGCGGCGTTCAACTGTGTACCCCGCGAACTTCCACATTCTCTGTGGCAGCGCTCTGCAGACCCTCCCACATCTCAGCGTGGCTGGAAGAACTATGAATTCTCCTGTGCCAGCAGGGCTGGCCAGGGTGCTTGGGTAACCAGTCTCCTCCTCCCGCCCACCCCGCCTTCCCTGTGCCCTCCTGGCTGCTGTACCTTGAGCGAGGACCAGCGGCGGGAGCGGTAGCTACACTGGAGGCACTTGAAGAGCTGGGGGTCACCAGACTCGTGGGAGTTGACATGGAAACGCAGGTCCTCGTGGGACAGGAAGCGGGAGCCACAGATGCGGCACAGATAGGGCCTCAGAAGCGGCTTGGGCGACTTGTAATAGTACCTGGCAGGAGGTGTGGGGAGAGATCTGGCTAGGCTGGGGCTGCAGGCGGCCCATCCACCTGCCTCGCCACCCTCACCACCACTCCCGTACTTGCGGTATTTCTTGCCCAGGAATCGCCTGGAGGGTCGGCCCCGGCGGCGGGGTGGGGCTTCAGGCTCTTCTTGGCAGGAGGGTGCTGTGTTCTCGGAGTCTGACTGACTCACACCGGACTCCACCGGGGCCTTGCCAGCCTTGCCCAGGGCCACCAGGCATCCTGGGCCCGAGGAGCTGGACGCCTCAGGATCTTGCGGCTCTGTGGGGCTCTCACCGCTCTGGGAACTCACTAGAGGCTCCTCCACACCTGGGAGGGACCAGGAGGTCACAAATCAGACAGCCCAGGACAGACGCAGGCCTCCCTGGCTAACAGTGGGGATAACCTATCTCTGGGTGCTCGTTCACCTCATGAGCACTGACTGCCGTATGTGGGACATGTGTGCTTTTCCAAACATACAGCACAGCACCGTTCTGAAAAAAGACCAAAGGATCTAACAACCACGCTATGCTGCATGTATACCAAGAGCCACTATGTTCCTTTTTATGTTACTGGTTTTTTGTACAGTACTGGGAATTAAACTCAGAGGTGCTCTACCACTGAGCTACATCTCCAGCCCGTTTTATTTTGAGATGGGATCTTGTGCTAAGTTGCTCACGCTGGTCTTGAATTTGCAATGCTCCTGCCTTAACCTCCCAAGTAACTGTCATTACAGGCATGCACCAGTGCGCCCAGGCCCTACTCATCATAAGGAACTGGATATCCAAGATGTAAAGTAATGTGCTCCAGGTCATACTACGTGTACGTGGCACAGCTGCTGCGCACACCCACGACTGCTCTTTCTGCCGGTCAGGGTTCTCCAGCAGGCTCTCCCTCGTGAGGAGGCCTGCAGACAGGCCGACTGAGACTGGTGTTCTGCACGGCCCCCAGTCCCCAGAGGTGCAGGGAGGAAGGTCACCCCTTGCCCTGCCCACATGGGCCCCTCTTGTGACCACAGCTTACCATCTGGGAGATCTGAGGTTTCCAGGCGAGCCAGCTTTCGGGGCCGGCCAGGTCTCCTTCGTGGCCTTGGGGTGCTGGGGGCGGGGCGCTGGAGCCGCAGCTGCCGGCCTCGGGGCTCATCCTCAGCAGGATTATAGTCACTGTCCTCTGTGGGCCAGTGCAAGATGAACAGTGGCTGGACCTGCCCTTCCAGCCCTGACTTCTCACCCAGCCCCAGGAAGAGGCCACTTCCCCATTCCTGCCTTTTCCAAGCCTGCCACAGAGCCCGCCCCGGGCTGTGAGTGTCCTCCTTCCACACTGGATAGGGTGGCTCACTGATGCGTCTGTCTCCGCGTGGTCCGCAGGAGCTCAGGGTAAGCAGAGCAGGCCTAGGAACCACGGCGACTTACCCTCCAGGTCATCGATGGCCCCAGCATCCACAATGTCATCTTCCTCCTCCTCCTCCGGCCCTTCTTCCTCCTGGGTCTTGGCAGAGGCGTCCCACTTCCGCTGTCGTTCTTTCTTACTAGTGCCTGCTGCTGCTGCTGCTGCTGGGGAGGGTAAGACAAGCTTGCCAGGTCAGGCCCCAGTGCCCCCCTCCCCCACCTGTGCCATCCCAGCCGAGGGGCTGCCCTGCACACACCAGGGCGGAAGTGCCGCTCCCGCATGTGCCGCAGCAGTGTGGCCTTGGTGCTGCTCCGGTACTGGCACATCTTGCACTTGAACTGCTGCACCACCACCACCTCCATCATGGCTTCCAGGCTCTGCAGGTCCAGCTCCTCGGCGCCAGGGGCTGGGGGCGCCCTTGCCAGGGAGCCGGGCCCATCCTGCGCCTCCTCAGGCGGCTCTAGGCACGTGGATGTAGATGTAGGGCCATCAGCCAGGGCTTCGATGGCTGCCAGGCTGTGGCCCAGGGTGGAACTGGACATTGGAGACGTTATGGGGGCACCTAGGGACCGGGGAGAGGATTGGGGAGGTTAAGCAGAAGGAGGACTGGCCATGAGCTACAGGGACCTCAGAACCGAATTTCCCGCCAGAGGCTACTTGCCAAGGAGGGAAGCCCGAAGCCCAGCGCAGTGGATAACCTGTCAGACCACACGGGCAGCTGTGGCAGAACCTGTCCTCACTACCTTCTGCCTACTGCAGAGCTCCCTGGGTCTGGCGCCGGCGTTCTTACCATCGTCCGGGCCCTGCAGGATTAGGTATCGCGTGGTCTCAGCTCCGCCATCTTCAGCACTGGTCACGGTGATACAACCTGGATGCAGGTGGGAGGAGGGTCACGCCGTGGGAGGAGGCTTCCGCTGCAGGTCCACACTCACGAGCCCCAAGTGGACACCAGCTTCATCGCCCCTGAGCCTTGGGCACCCCCGGCACCTGTGCCCCACAGCCCAGTCACCAGGATGCCATGGCTACCCCAGCTGCCTGACCTTTCACTGTTAGGCCTGGGAAGTCCTTCTGCTCCCTCGGTAAACTTCCTCAAGGTCCTCACCCGCCCCTGAGCTGCTTCCCTACGGTTGGCTTCCAAGACGGCCCCAGTGCTTTGTGAAGCGCTGGGGTCTCTGTGCACAGCGCTACTGACAGATAATGGGAAGGCTTTACACGCCCCTGTGTGCAAGTGTTTACAAGCATCCTCAGCACAGCGTAAGCTGTCACCGTTGCTGACGGCGTGGTGTAACGGGCAGGTACAATGCTAGGAATGTACTGCACCGCACCACTGGGCACACATCTAGCATTAGAAGGCACTGGGCCTGCGTTCACACACAGCTGGCTGCCAGACTCTGCAGGGAACTCCGGGGGTGACCCTACATCCCTCCCCACTCACTCTGGATGAGGTCTGGCCCGATGGTGGACTCGATGATCTTGTCGATGGCCGAGCCCAGGTCCGAGGAGGAAGCTGTGCAGTCAGACACCAGCATGTTGGGGTCTGGGAGAGCACTGGAGTGCACCAGTGCTGGGGGGCCTCCAGGGACTGCTGCCACCGGCCCACCAGACACAGAAGACGAATCCGGGAGGTAGCCATGAGGCAGAGGCTCCGTGCTTGAGCTGCTCTCCGATACCTCCTCCTGCGGGGCAGAGAATGGATGGGAGATAGCTCAGGAGCAGGAGCGGGGCGGAGAGGGGCTCTCCAGACAGCTCCCCAGCTGAAGGACACGGTAAAGGGAGCCACCCACACTTTCAGCCCATTTAGCTTGGCTTTTTTTTTTTTTTTTTTGTACCGGGAATTGAACTCAGGACCTTGGGCTTGCCAGGCAGGCACTTGTGCCACTGAGCTATATCCCCAGCTTTTCAGTCCATTTAGGACCAGTGGGAAAAATGTGCCAGTCAGAGTCCACCAAGAAAAGGCCTATGCCGGGTGTGGTGGCGCATGCCTTTAATCCCAGCACTCAGGAGGCTGAGGCAGGAGGATCATTGCAAGTTCGGGACCAGCCTGGCCTACAAAGTGAACTCAAGGCCAGCCTGAACTGCATAGCCAGACTCTATCTCAAAGACACAAAAAAAGAAGAAAAAAAAAAAAAGATAAGGCCCTAAGGCCCTTGGCTCTGGCCAGAGGCTACACTGGAATAAGGGAGCAGAACTCTACAGAGCCCACACCACAGCCAGAGAAAGCTATTTCTATTGGGTTTTGGCAAAATTCGTTCCTTCTGTCTCCAACTCGTCCTCAGCCTTCTCACTGCTATTTAGCTGAAGCTCTTCTAGGAAGCGCATCCTGACCTCAAGGCCAACTTAGGAATTCTCCGTCTCCAGTGCTGCAGCCGTTTGTGCTCCCCTTCACTGGACAGGCACGGCAGCAGGTTGGTTTGTAACCCCTGAGGCAGTTTGCCAGTGTGGACCCAATTCCTCAGCCCTAGAGAGGCACTCCTCATGCCTGAAGCCTGTGGGACACACCCCGTACCATAATGTCCTTTATGCAGACAGGACTCTCCCCAAGGGCCTGCGCCACACCTGTCTCGTCCCTGTTGTATCCCCAGAGCCACATAGTAGGACACACAGTAGGTGCCATTCTGATGACTTCAGAAAACCTCTGGGCCCCAAAATGAGGGCCACAGCTTTGTATTCCTACCAAGTGATACTCTGAATATGATCATCATCTTGCAGGCGGCAAAATACCTGAATGCTTACCGTGTGCCGGCCAGTTTTATTTGTTTTGCATACGCTAAACCATTTAACCCTCACAAGAACTCTACAAGGCAAGTGTATTTGTCACTCCTCTTTTCACATGAGTAGCTTGGTCAGGATCGCAGATCTGCAAAGTGGCAGGGCCAGGAAGTGAAGGTGTGCAAGTGAATGGCAGGTGAGAGCCTGCAACTCAGCAGCCGTGGAAGCAGGCATGCCCGCTCCCATTAACAGACAGGAAGACCGAGGCTCAAAGAGGACTTCTAGTAAATTCGAGGCCGAGCCGAGACTTGAATCAGGTCATGGCCTCTCAAATTCTGAGGATACAGGACAGCGTGGTGGATAAGAGCAAGTCAGATTGAACCCTGTCTGTCAGCACTGTGTGCCTTGGCTTCCTTCCCTGTAAGATGCGGGGAAGAGTGGCAGATGCCTTATAAGGTGTGAAGCTGAACTGAGAAAGTCCCTGTCAAGGGTCCGGCGTGGTACCTGGCCTGGCCTGGTGGGGCAAACCTGTAATCCCAGCACTCAGGAGGCTGAGGCAGGAGAATCACTTCAAGTTCAAGACCAGCCTGGGCTACAAAGTGAGCTCAAGGCCAGCCTGAACTGCATAGAGAGATCCTGTCTCAAAATAAAACAAAACAAAAAGCCCAAAAAACAAAAACAAAAACAAAACCCCAAATATTAGCTAGAAGCATGCCTTGCTGGCCGCTTCCCTTTGGCGGCCAGGTACTGTGCCTGGGTCCCAGTCTCCACCCAAGCCGTCTAGCCCGGTCCGTACCAGTGAGTGGCTGCCTCGGTCTGAGCTTTGCACCACTCCAGAGACATCGGCCTCCACCGGCCCCGAGGCGGTCGCGGCGTCGCTGCTGTCGGCTGACACAGCTTCCGAGGTGCACACACCCAGGCCGCTCTCAGAGGGCTCCTCAGGCCGAGGGGCAGCGTCGCTACTGCTCTCTACCTCGTTCTCCTCCATCGGCTCGGGGGAACGCCTGGCAGGAAGGTGCAGGGTCTGGGGCTTTCACTCTGCGAGAAGAGGTGACCAGGGCTGGAACATGTGGGCCACTTCCCTGGCAACCAAAACCCAGCCAGCTGCACCCTTGAGCCCATTTTGCAGATGCACAGACTGAGTCTTCCACAGGGAGGGGCTCCTTCGTGTATTGAGAGAGAAGCTTCCAAAAGAGGGCGGGAGCCTTGCTTCCAGACTAGGGCCTTCCCTGAGAGGGTGGTCGCTGGCAGGTAATCTTGGCCCTTTCCCCGTCCGCGCAGAGTAGTTCACTCTGTGAACCCCCTCTGGGCACAGTGGTTCAGCCCTGTGGAACCCGAGTCCCCCCGGGTGAAGGGACGGTGGTACAGCCCACAGGCCCCCCTGGGTCACCGGTTCGCTCCCCCCTCCCCTGCTTCCCTGCGGAGGGGGCTGACTGAGACGGTCTCGGGGCCTGGTGACTCGGGGCTGTCCCCGGCGCTGCCTGCGCTCCAGGCTCGACGCCATCTTGTGGTGGCGCCGGGTTTCCGCTCAGGCAAGTGCGAGAGCCACTAAAGGGCCTGGGACCCCAGGGCCCTTTTCGGACAGCCCCGCCGGCCCCTCCGTCGCCGCCAGGTATCCCCGCACTGAGGCTGTACTTCCTGGCTCAGTGCAGTGGGCAGCCCGATTCTATCCGACTCTTACCTAAGGCCTTCTTTGCCGTGTTTCTCTCGGACTCCGGCATCGACGAGGTCGCCATCCTCTTTTTCCCCGCTGCGGAGGGACCTATCGGTCTACTGTAGGCCGGGACTACTTCCACCGCCACGCCAGGGAAAGACAGAGTTCCAGTGTTCCGGAAGGGCTCTCTGAGACCTCAGAACCATAATCCTGTCCGGAGCGACCCTAAAATTCTGTATGTTGCCTAGAATAGACGATGGGGCCCGCTGGGGTTTGGGGACTACTTTCTTTCCTGGCGGATGGCTACATAGGAAGTGCTTATGACGTCACTACAGGTCCCTTCTGGGGCCGCAGGGTGGGGCGCGGCGAAGGCCGGCGGCATTCTCCCGGGGCGTGGCTCTTGACATTCTGGCCACGCCCCTTCGCAGGCCGCTGAGAACCACCTTGGTTTGCGGCAGGTTTAATCTTGGAAGAGGAAGAGTAAACGCTGTCGGATTTTTTTCTTGGCTTTTTACCGATTCTTGGACGCTCTCTTGAACCCTGATCGAATCCTCCCCGCTTAGGTTTGATGTTTCGCCGCGGATTGAGCCGTGTAATCCTTGTACAGATGAGCGAACAGCCTTGAACACCAGAAAGGCTGGTTCAGAACCATGCGGGTGGCAAGGCCGGATGGCCGGAGTCAGGGATTTGGAGAGGAGTTAATGCTAGCTCTTGGTGAGCTTATATATATTTGTTACATTAATAGGCTGCGGGTCAGGACTTCCACATTTGTCCTCGACTCACTGTAGAAAGTGGTGTATTTAAAGGTCTGCAGGCCTTCAGAAAATAGGTGCTCTCTCCCATGACCAAACGAAACGTCACCTTCTGTTGCAGCCTTGTTTCTTTATTTTTATCATTTTGCAGTGGAAGAACACTAGAGAGAGTAATGTGCTCTGGTTTTGTCCCTAAGTGTATGTTGCATAAGCTGTTTCACACTCCAGGGAAAAGAAGCTCAGAAAATTCCTCTAGAGAAAACCCACTGAAAGCCGGGCGTGGTGGCTCACCCCTGTAATCCCAGCACTCGGGAGGCCGAGGCAGGAGAATCGTTGTGAGTTCGAGACCAGCCTGGGCTACAAAGTGAGCTCCAGGCCAGCATGAACAGCATAGCAAGACCCTGTCTCAAAAAAAGACCAAAAAAACCCCAAAACAAACAAAAAAAACTATTGAAAAGAATGAAGTGTGCATTGAGTTGTTTGCATGCACTAGTGAACATGAGGGGCTTCTATGGTCATTTTCTAGGTAAAGTTTTCCCTTCTAGGGTTCCCCTTTGTGTGCCCGGAATAGGGCAGGAAGCCTCTGCGTGGATTAGGCCTTTTCTCCCTCCCAACCGGACCAGGCCTTCAAAGCAACCCTGAATTCCTGCATCAGCAGTGAGTGGCATGGTGGCACATTGGTTTTGCACTCCTGAGACAGTTTCCCAATGTGGACCCCATTCCTCAGGCTTATCCTCCACCCCACCCCCTGACAGGCCTGTAGCATACCTGCCTCTGACTAAATCCCCTCTCAAAACGATCAGAAAAAAACAAAACGATCAGAGTACCAGGGAGTAGCCTCACAGTACCCCTCTCCAGGCCAACTGAGATCCAGCTCTAATCCTGACCTTTGCCGCCAGATCACAGTGTTGCACAATATCATGTAGAAGGTGATAGCCTCATCATGGACCAAAGGCTGGAGAAGGCAAGTGCATGGCCAGGGTGCTCATGGCTCCTTGGGAAAAGCATTAGCAGAATCCTTCAATTCCAAATTGGATGTGGTGGTGGTGCACGCCTGTAATCCCAGCATTTGGGAGGCTGAAGCAGGTAGATCATGGTGAGTTCTAGGCCACCTGGGTTGCTTAGTGAGTTCACAGCGTTTTCTGACTTGTTAATCTAGGGTTCTTCCCGACTGATCATGCCGTTGGAAAAAATTCTGGAAGCAGTGAAGGAAAGGGTACTGGGTCAGAAGGATGTTAACGTGGACCGCTGAGAAAAAAGTACAGGGCAGAGCAGCACAGGAAGAAAGGAAGTGCACCAGGCAGTGTGTGTGTATGCTTTGCTGCATCTTGGTGTCCCAAGGAAGCAGGGGTTTCATTTCCACATAGGAGAAAGGGAGGCTCAGAGAGCAGTGACTTGTCCAGGGTTATACAGCCCAGAGTGGGGAGCGGGGAGGTGGGCCCCGATTCCAAAGCTATTCGGACTTTAGGTCTCCTGTGAAATATGCGTGGTAATTCTAACACTTAAAAATACTCTGTGCCAGCTACTGTCCTAAGCACATAACATGCACGACTTGATTTCATCCTTAGAATTGCCCTGTGAGGTAGGTGTCCTCATTTTACATTTGAAGAAACAGGCACAGAACAGTAAAGGAAAATACGTAAACAAAGAATGGACCCAGGGTTGAAAACCAAGCAATCTGGCCCCAGACTCCATCATTTCAGATTGCTGTGCCAGCTGGGCGTGGTGCACCTGCCTGTAATCCCAGCACTGGGGAGGCCGAGGCAGGAGGATCACTGTGAGTTTGAGACCAGCCTGGGCTACAAAGTGAGCTCAGGGCCAGCCTGAACTGAATAGCAAGACCCGGTCTCAAAAAGATAAAAAAAAAAAAAAAAACAGATTGCTGTGTCTTTTCTCATGTGCTACTGCTAATAAATACTTTTTAAAAATTAAGTTTATTGGTACAATTTAGGTATACATAATGATCATATTCAACATAGAGAATTTGTGGCGGTATATGATATATCTTGATTCTTTTTTTTTTTTTTTTTGGTCTATTTGAGACAAGGTCTCACTATGTAGTTCAGGCTGGCCTTGAACTCACTTTGTAGCCCAGGCTGGCTTCGAACTTTCATCAAGATTCTCTTGCCTGAGCCTCCCAAGTGCTGGTGTTATAGGCAGCTGAGTTAGATAGAAATATAGAATCAGACAGGGCCAGGCCCTCCAAGGAGCTAATATGGAAGACAAGATACCTTGCAAATGGGGATGTATTTGCTTCGGGCCAGACCTCAAGACAAAAGATTAAACAAATGCACCCACATATCTCCCTAGGGATCGACATCAGGGATTGATAATAAAAATAGGTAAAGAGTCACTGACCCAACCCCTTGCAGGAAAAGCCCCTGTTCTGTGTTCATGCCCACTTGCTACGTGACTCGTTTCCCCATTTGATCCTGATTTAATCAGTTTTACTTGAACAGTTCTTATTGGCTGACTGTAGTTTTGTACCACTTAATGCCCACCTAGCGAGTTCCCATATTTTCCAGCTTGGACCTGCCTCACCTTGTGATTTTGCTCTATAAAGATCCCTGGAAAAGGTAGGTTCCCAGGGCAACCCACTGGGGCCTTCTTCTGTCCCTCTCTCAGACAGAAGCTTTCTTTCCCTCAGTAAATATATTCTGCTCTTAACCTCCATTGTTCCTAAAATTCGTTCTTCTATTTTATTTTTTTTTAAATTTTTTTATTATTACTTTTTTTCATTCTTCGATTTTAGAGAACAAGAACTCATTCCAGATATCGTTTTCAGGTTGGGAGTTTCTTTCCCCTATATTACTGGGATTACAGATGTGGGCCACCTGATTTTTTTTTTTTTTTTAATACCTGATTGTTAAAGGATACTTTCTCAGAGCTGGGGATTTAGCTCAGTGGCAACGTGCCTGCCTGGCAAGTGCAAGGTCGTGAATTCCATTCCTGGTACTGGAAGAAAAACCAAAAAAAGATACTTTCTCTATTCCACAGGGTTCTCCAACCCTACAGTATTAGAGATTGAACCCAGAGCATTTGAGTGAGCTAACTCCCCAGTCCTTTTTTTATTTTTTTGAGACAGTATCTTGCTAAATCACTTGCAGGACTCAAATTTGCAATCCTTCTGCCTCACCTTCACAGACTGCTGGGATTGCAGACAGGTACCACTGTGCCTGGCCTTTCTCGTTTTTCAGATGAGGAAACTGAACCCCAGAGAGGAAGCAGCTTACTCAAGATCACGGTTTCCTTGTCTAAAAGGAAGGTCTGTGAGTCCAGGCCAGATCTCCTACAGTAGTTAATAATCATACAGCAAATCTTGACTGAACATTTATGAAGTACCAAGTGCTATGGTTCTGTATTAGGTGCTTTGTTGCTTTTCTTTTTTGAGAGGTACTGGGAATCGAACTGAGGACCTCACACTTTCGAGGCCGGCCCTGGGCCACAGAACTAAATCCCCAGCCCTTGTTTATTTGTTTTTTGAAACTAGGCCTTCCTGTGGAGTTCAGGGTGACTTTGATTATATGAGATTATAGGTGTGTGACACCACACATGGCTTGTTTGTTTTTGAGGCAGGGTTCAGCCAGGCCTTGAACTTACTTTGTAGCCCAGGTTGCCCTGGAGTTATGGCAGCCCTCCTGCCTCAGCCTCCCAAATGCTGGGATTATAGGCATGTGCCACCAAACTTGGCACAATACTGGATTTTTGTCTGCTTCACTGTTTCCTAAGGTATCTCCAACACTTAGCAGTTTTGCAGTCCAAGGTAGCTAACACATCCTTATTGTATGGATGAATGAGTTATTTTGACTATAAACACAGTGCTTTTTGATCTCCCTTCTTGCCCCAGGTATCACAGGGCATGTGTGTCGTCTGTCAGCCCAACCCTAAGACATTTTACACAGGTTAAAGACCCATTTTGGAAGTGAAGGCGGGGACTTCTGCCCTGTAAAGACCTGCACAGGAGGAGACATGAGTCTGAGGCATGCACTGTGCCAGGTGCTGAACACACTTTTGCAATTCACCCTCACGGTGAAGCACAGATTGTTATAGCCCCATGTACAGCTGATGAAATGAGAGTTCCAGGAGGTAGGGAACTCACCCAAGGTTCCAGAAATGGAGATTATAGCTGGATTTGAACTCCGGGCTGTCTATCTCCAACCCCTGTTCTTTGTACTATACCAGCTTCCTCCCAGAGGGCGAGGGGATGGAAGCTGAGCCCCAGGAGCCGGTGCTGAGGCCAGACTCAGGCTGAGTGACAGCTCGAGACCAGGACTTTGACAGCTATGCCGAGGCTGGCTGGAAGCAAGTGGTGCTAAACTCGCGTGCCTGAGAAGATGAACAATGATGACAAAGACAGGAGATGGCCAGGAGCTGCAGCGGGGCGCCGAGGAGGTGCTGGGTCCTGAACAGAAAGTCCTTGGGCTCTGCTTCCAACCAAGAGCTCCCTACTTACTTGCTCTGCGACCTTGAGCAAGTCACTCAACCCTCTCAGTTCAGTGTCCTCGCTTGTCACACAGGGTCACCACTCCTGCTGGGTTGTCATGGTACTGCATGAGACAATGCAGGGAGACAGAACTGGGTCAAGTCCAGGCCAGAACGCAAGTACTAATTAGTTGTATGACCTAAGGCAAGTCCCTTCACTTCTCTGAGCCTTAGTATCCCTATCTATATAACAGAGGTGGTACCTATCTCACCCGAACACTGTGAAGATGCAGTGATTAAAGTATGGCCTCTTGGTCTCACTATGTAGTTCAGGCTGGCCTTGAACTCACTTTGTAGCCCAGGCTGGTCTCGAACTTGCAACGATCCTCCTGCCTCAGCCTCCAGAGTGCTGGGATTACAAGCATGCACCACCACCCCCAGCTTTGAAGCACATTTACTTGGGTTCATTCCATTTGTACCCCATCACCTCGCATGCGTGGCCTGTCTGCCTCAGTTTCCTCAGCTGTAAAGTAGAGGTGAACATAAGTGTACCCATTTCATGGAGTTGTGATGTTAAAGGGTATGTAATCAGTAGAAAGACTGTAGACCAGCATCTGACATAAGTAAGCCCTTGCCACCGAGAACTCATTAGCCCTGAGTCTGGTACCCAAAATTAAATGCTGGGTACCACTTTATTTTCTTGTTTGTTTGTTTTATTTTTTTCTGGTACCGGGAATCGAACTCACGATCTTGCTCTTGCCAGGCAGGCGCTGTGCCACTGAGCTAAGTTCCCAGCCCCTGGGTACCTTAGGTGACATACTGACCCCATTTGTTCCTGAGGAACTGAGTTATTCAGGGGTTCAGTATCTTGCCGAAGATTGCACAGCACACATCAGAGAGACCCGCATTTGAGTCCTGCAGATTCCCCGTCACTCCTTCATCTCTAATAAGGGCTCCATAAATGGGAGCTGTTAGAATGTCTGTGGGAATGGCGTTTTTTTGGGGGGAACCAGAAGAGATGGCACTTAATTAGTACCCAGGTGGAGGCCTTAGCCAGGTGAAGATGCTGGGACGGGTTTGCTCAGCTGGTGCTGGCTTCCAGCAGGGGGCACCCGCTCCCTCCGCCTCTTTCCAGACCTGAATCAGGAGGCATCAGGTTCCCAGCTTGGGGGCCATGCGGAGGGGCAGCAGAGCGTGGCAGCAGCAGCTTGTGCAAAGGCTTCTCTCCCCAAGTTCCCCAGACTGGGCCGCAGAGCTGCCTCACACAAACCTTCCACAGAGACTGCCGCCCAGCCTTACCCAGCCCCTCTCTGGCGTCAGAATCTCTTGGGTATTGGCCAGGAATCTGAAACCTCAGAAACTTTAAGGAAGTTCTGTATGGGAGTGAAAATCAATAGATGAGCTAAAAATAGTAACACAGATAGTGCTCAGATAGGTACTGACCAGGGCTGGGGGTGTAGCTCAGTGGTAGAGCACTTAGCCTAGAGAAGTGAAGCCCTGGCTTTCATCCTTAGCGTGGAAAAAAAGGGAAGGAAAAAGAAACAAAGGAAGAAAGAAAGGGGTGGAATAATGTTACTGAGGTGAAAAAGCAAGTTGCCAAGGCAGGAATGGACACAGAGGACCAGTCCTCCAGGAGGGAGTGAGCCCAGTTTCCCTCCAGACAGCAGCCCCTTGCCCATTCTACCCTCGAGAGAATGGACTCTGGCCAGAGTTCTCCCGGTGCTGCTTGGACTGGGGGTTCTCAGGACCTGGTACTAAGTGTGGGCTCCAGGCGACCCACAGACCCCACCTCTGCACATTCTCTGGCCCCCTGGACTTCCTGCCCCACGGAAAGGCAGAGTGGAGGCCCAGGGAGAGAGCCGCTAAAGCTTGGGTCTGAGGCCCAGCTTGCCCAGGTGTCGGAGTTGTGCTGGATGGATCAACACTATTTTTTAAATTTAGTGAGTTAGTTTTTGTTTGTGTGTTTTGCTTTTGTCTTTTTGAAACAAGGTTTCGCTGTGCAGTTCAGGCTGGCCTTGATCTCACTTGGTCAGACAGGCACTTGTGCCACTGAGCTGTATCCCCAGTTGAACTCACTTTGTAATCCAGGCTGGCCTCAAACTCGAGGTGATCCTATTGCCTCAGCCTCCTGAGTGCTGGGATTATAAATATGCGCCACCATGGCCAAACTTTGTTGATTTTTTGAGACAGGAGCTCACTGTGTAGTTCAGGCTGGCCTTGAACTCACTATGTAGGGCAAGTTGTCCTTGGGCTCAGTGATCCTCCTGACTCAACCTCCTCAGTGCTGGTGCTATAGGCATGCGCCACCATGCCTAGAAATCAACACTGTTTATATAAAGGACAAAACATGCGAAACAATATGTTGTTTCTTGTACACAGAAATAATACATCTGTTGCGGATGTGTGGCATTACTGTGAACTGAACCCAGGGCCTTTACAACGAGCCATATCTGGGGCCCTTTTAAATTTTTTTTAAAACGGGATCTCACTAAGTGGCTAAGTCGCTCAGGCTCAAACTTTCAGTCCTTCTGCCCCAGCCTCCCTGAGTGCTATGATTGTACGTGTGCATCACCACACACAGCTGAGAAAGATTAATAAAATGGACCACATAAAACATGGCCAAGGGCTGGGGATATAGCTCAGTGGCACAGCACCTGCCTGGCAAGCACAAGGTCATGAGTTCCATTCCTGGTACCAAAAAACCAAAACAAAACATGGCCAAACCAGATATGGTGGCATGTGCTTATAATCAGCTTTTTGTTCTTTGTTTTGTTTTGTTTTTTTGAGACAGGGTGTCACTATGTAGTGCAGGTTGGCCTTGAACTCGCTTATGTAACCCAGGCTGGCTTCAAACTGACAGCCATCTTCTGCCTCAGAGGGCTAGGGTTATAGGTGTGCACCACCATGTCTGCCTACCTCAACTTCACTCTGCACAAACATTGTACTTTGTTTTTTTGTTTTGTTTTGTTTTTGTTTTTTGTGTTTTTTTTCCGGTGCCGGGAATCGAACTTATGACCTTGTGCTTGCCAGGCAGGTGCTGTGCCACTGAGCTAAATCCCCAGCCCCAAACACTGCACTTTATATCATGGGAGGCTGAGATACAGGAAGACCACAGTTTCAAGCCCAAGCCTGGAAATTTAGCCACTTAGTGAGATCCTATCTCAAAATAAAAAATTAAAAAAGGAGTAGGGATATAGCTCCAGTGGGAAGGCCCTGGGTTCAATTCCCAGGGCCACAAAAGAAATTTATTGATCTTTTCCAATGACATTGAGGTTTTATATTGTGTATAGGAATGCTTTCGCTAATCTATGAATATTATTATTGTTATCATTATTTTGCCTTTTTTGGAGACAGGGTCTCACTATACAGTTCAGGCTGGTCTTGAACTCACTTTGTAGCCCAGGCTGGCCTCAAACTTGCAACAATCCTCCTGCCTCAGCCTCCTGAGTGCTGGGATTACAGGTGTGTGCCACCATGCTCAGTTTTCTATGAATATTAAAAAGCAAAGGACTTAAAAATTATTATTTACAGTTAATGAAATCTTAAAACCTGAGAGCTGTTGTTCTGGATAAGCCTCTTTACAACATGAGTTTCTGGCAGGCCAAAATCTCCACTTGCCCCTCCCCTTATGGCCCCAACACAAATTTAGAGAGATAGAAAATATTCAGTAAATGTTGGTGTTATGGTTTATGTCTAAATGTGCCCCCAAAGCCTCATATGGTCATAGGTGGGGCTTTTTAGAGGTGGCTGGATCTAGAATGTGTGGTGTTGGGATTGATTCATGGTGCAAGGCTAGGATTAAGGGCTCTGGGATTGGGGGTGTGTGATTACTAAATTAGTCCACTGCTTTTTTTTATTTTTCTGGTACCAGGAATCGAACTCACAACCTTGCGCTTGCCAGGCAGGCACTGTGCTGCTGAGCTAAATCCCCAGTCGTAGTCCACTGATTGGTTTGGCACCCAGCCTAAACTGGGTAGCCTAGATAGACTGTAAAAGGGGCAGAAAGAAGCTGCTGCTGTTCTAGGAGTTTACTACATTCTGCCTGCCACGAGCTGTTTCTCCTCTGCAATGCCCCTCTGCCATGCTGCCCTGCCTTGGAGCCAGTCAACTATGAACTGAAACATCTGCAAACTATGAGCCACAATAGAACTGTCATCCTTTAACTTTGGTTGTTGGGTATTTTGTCTCAGCAACAAGAAAAAATAACTAAGACAGTTAAAAGCAGGTTCTACCTCAAAGAGAAATACAGCTCATATTTTCTTTTGTCATTCTTTCAGGTTTTTTTGTTTTGTTTTTGGTTTGGTTTGGTTTTTTGAGACAGGGTCTCACTATGCAGTTCAGGCTGCCGTTGAACTCACTATGTAGCCCATGCTAGCCTCAAACTCATGGTAGTCCTCCTGCCTCAGCCTCTTGAATGCTGGGATTACGGGCATGTGCCTCCACGCTCAGCTAGAATATTTTTCTTAATTATGTTTTTCATCCATCTGGAATTTATTTTGGTGATTGGAACGAAGTAGAGATACAGTTTTATTTTTTCCAAGCAGTTAACCAGTTGGACCAACACCATACTGAATAATCTTGTCTTCCCTGCACTGATTCCAAATGCCACCTTTAGCATATACCAAATTCCCATGTGTATTTGAGTCTATTTCTGGATTTCCTATCTTCCCTATCTTGTCCTCTGTCTGGGATGCTGTATTTTTTTTTTTTTTTTTTAAAGCTCCCTAGGTGATTCCGATGCAGCCAGCCTGCAG